GACCCTATATTTATTCATATTTACGCCCTGGTTTGGCTTCATGTTCCTCGAGGTTTAGCCTTAGCTTGGCCGTATATTCCTTTGTCTTAAGCCTTGGTTCGTCTCAATACTCTTTGGTGTGATGGCTCTGGTTAGGTTCACTAATTCTTAATCTAACAGGGCCTACAGGCTCTGTGTTTAGCCCTGCATTGGGTTAATGTTCTATGTTTTCTTTCCCTGGGTTGGTGTTCATTGTACATGTAGATATAGCCATGGTTTGTCCCAGTTTGTTCTTGGTGTGTTAGCTCTGGTGGGGTCAAATATTCCTTTATATTATATCCCTGATTTGGCCTGAGGTTCCCTGATGCTTGGCATTGGCTTGGCCCATTATTCTTGTCCCTGGTTTGACATAAGATACGGTGATGTTGTTGTTTTGGTTTGGACCAATAACTCTTGGTATTTATCCCTGGTTGGGTTAAGTACATGGACATCTCACCTCATTTGTCCATAAAATACAAAACCCGCTCAGATTGCAAAGTAAGTGTATTTGTTCTCATTTGCTTTTTTTCTCATTATTGAAATTCATAAAAAAAAAATCACAGAGCCATAAATCATTCTGCAAACCTCAAACCTCCATTTTTAGTTTTCCTTTCCCGTCAGGTCTTCAGCTGCATGCTGGCTCGGTTCCTCTGTTGGTCAGGAGATTCCTCCTAAAGCAGCGAAATTAAATGAAAAGACAAAAAAAGAACACAGCTGACAGGACGAAACTAAAGGTTTCTATGTTCCTCAAAAACAGACAAAAAAGAGACAAGTAAACCCACAGAGACATCAGAGCCTCTCTCTCTCTCTCTCTCTCTCTCTCTCTCTCTGCAGTGCCATCCACATGTAGTTGAGTGTGGCTGGTTGTCTCTCTCTGTATGTCGGCCCTGAGAGTGACTGGCGAACAGTTCAGGGTGTAACCCCGCCTCTCGCTCAATGACAGCTCAGCTCCAGGGCCCCTGCAACCCTGAACGGGATAAGCGGTATAAATAAATAATGGATGGATGTATAAACTATCAACACTGCTTTTAAAAGTTTTTAGTGAAGCTAATGTCTCCAGGAGGGCTCAGCCTGGTTGTAACTTCACAGAGATTATGTTGTGTGTGTCGGTTGAGTTTCATCCATTTAAGATGTCTTCTACCTCTTGGACTCATCTCGTAGTGATGTAGAGTAAAACGTCCATGTACAAACAGACAGAGACCCGCGTAGGTGACACTGTCTGAATCAGTGTCAGTGCCCAAACATTGCCAAAGTATTTGTGCAATTTAGACGCAGTGCAAGGAGGAAGAAAGGTTTCAGTCTGGGGAGTCTAGGACTTCTGTTTGTGTTGCCATGGTATCTAAACAGATGTTTATATTGTTTGATTTTTACTAGCATTATAACAAAGTTTAAAATCCTGGTTATGTGACAACCCCACAAAGATAGAATGACATTTAGACCGACTACATGACGTCCAAAAAAATCAATCCACTCTGATGGGGCGTCTCTAATCTGGACTCGATGGTGTAAACCTGGAGATTTTTATTTGAACCTGATCCAGAAGTGAAAAACATGTTTTTGGAAGTGAACCAGTTCTTACTCTGATAAGAAATCAAAGGAGGGTTAAAGGAGTTTTAAAGGAATAACAACCTGCAGAGTTAGTCGAGTTTCATCGTCAGGATCTCGGTGGAAATGCTCATTAAATCGTGTGAACTATATTTCCCCTGACTGAGCCAGTGTACTCTGCGTGTGATGATTCATGTTCATATTTCCATACCTCTAATTCATGTGTAACTATATGCTAATGATTAACTGGCATTAAAGCAAGAGTGTTTGTTTGACACATAGAGGAAGACTGCTTTCACACTCACTGTGTTGCTGCTGCAGGCCACTGACCTCCATTCTTCTTCTTCCTCTTTTTTTATCAAGGTTTTTTTCCCTCGCGCAGTCAGGCCGTCCACACTCTGAGTCTGGTCTGCTTCCACATCTGTTGCTTCTCTGAACAGTTTGTGCTGAAATCAGATCCATGAAGTAGGATCCATTTGGTGAGACAGAGAAGGGAGTGATCAGCACCTGAATGTGTGTGTCACTGACAGGTAGCAGAATAAGGACCTGATATTGATGTAGTTACAGAAATGACCAACAGGGCGTCTGAGAAGTTTAACCCCTTCTCTGTATTTGAAACCCATATTTGGAATTTTTGCTGTTGCTATCTGTTTTTTTTAGCACTAGGAGTGACCAGGAGCTAGCAAATGCTAAGACATACAGCTTAAAAGTGTGATTGGTGGCTAATTCATTAGCTGCTAATAAGATAGTTAGCCATCGTGTTTCCCAAAGAATGCGATGCTATTTGTGGTGGTGGCTGACGGCAGTTTATTTATCAGACTACAGAGGCTCAGGGAGCTCGTAGAAACGATGCAGACACTGGTGGTAAGTGAACGACTCGTAGCAGATAAGATAAAGAAGCTGTCTAATCACTAAGGCCCGCCATGGACTCAGACTTGTTGGACGGTTTGTTGGTCAAATAAGGGCGCGGTCTTACTGGCCATCCGTACGGTGCCCAAGCACGCTTCAACACTAAAGTCCAATTGTGCTTGAGTACAGCATGGTACAGATGACCAGTGTGACTGCGCCCTAAAGCTCAGAGAGAGACAGATTATTAGTCTGATATTTACAGGAAAAATTTTCCAAAAGGCTCCAACAGCACAAACACAGCCCAGAGGTCAAAGGTCAGGGACTCAATCAGCTGAGGGGACAGCTAGCAGACAGCTAGCAGCTCCACTAGAGTGCACTAGAGTGTCCACTAGAGTCTGTCTCCTGCAGTGAGTCAGTCCCCATAGAGCTCCATGTTAAAATGTCCAACTTTACAGCTGCAGTTCCTCCAGTGTCCACTAGAGTCTGTCTCCTGTAGTGAGTCAGTCCCCATAGAAGCATCTATTGGACTTTAAAAGAACTGCAGCCGGACACATAAAGTGATGTTGATGTTTAATGATAAATAATTATTGATAATAATTGATTCATAATAAACTTTGGAAGCTTTAAAGGAATCAGAGGAAACCTTTCCCCTCATTCACTGAACAGACTCTTAGTTTAAGCAATTTTATTTCAACATGAAACCACAACCACTATTTTCTAATGAAAGCTTCCTTTTTCCTCAACTTCATCTGAGTTACAAAAGTACAACGTTACAACACTTCAACGTTTCTCTGTGGGGCCAAATGTGACTCCATCTGTGGAGTTAGATCAGTATCAATATTCACAAATGCACACAGAAGGATTCACAAATGTATTTAAATGTGCACACAAATAGATTTCATTCTATATAAATGTAAAACAAATCCACAAATAAAAAAAATAAGATTCACAAATGTGTTTCTGATTCACACACAAATATTTATAGTTTTGTATATATGTAATAGAAATCCACAAATATATAAACTGTTCATTCTGCATTTACAAACTGTTTGTCATTTGTGTGTGGGATTTTTGAGACTATTTGTTTTACATTTATATAGAATTAAATATATTTGTGTGTGCATTGAAATACATTTGTGAATCCTTTCGTGTGCATTTGTGAATATTGAGACTGATCTAACTCCATATCCATCTGCCGCTGAAAAATAGTCCCGAAGATGAGCACCATTAGTTGTAACTTTTTTAGAATCCAAAATGACTGAAAGCTGACAGACTGATGTGACATTTGTTTGAGTCTGCACAGGAGAGGTCAGAGATTCAGAATGAGGACCTGAACGTGTCAGCAGCTCTTATAACGCACAGTTTACTACAGAAAGAAGGAGCACAATGACGTGGAGAAAAGTGAGAAGCTGTGAGATCAGAGGTAAAAGCTTCCAGCAGCAGTGAGATCAGCCGACCTCCGCCCAGAGAGAGAGAGAGAGAGAGAGAGAGAGAGAGAGAGAGAGAGAGAGAGAGAGAGAGAGAGAGAGAGAGAGAGAGAGAGAGAGAGAGAGAGAGAGAGAGAGAGAGAGAGAGAGAGAGAGAGAGAGAGAGAGAGAGAGAGAGAGAGAGAGAGAGAGAGAGAGAGAGAGAGAGGGGAGGGTGGGGTCGACGTCCCCAGAGTCTGGGCTGAGACTCTCTCTTTGCTCACATCTGGAGTCCGGTTTGTTTTGATGATCATTTTCACTCTTTGTGTTCTTTCTCTTCTGGTCTGGCTGGTGTGGGAGGTTGATTGGAGATCGGGCGACAGGGAGACTCAGAATAGGGGCTCAGTCTCGGGCATTGATCTACCCAAACTGATTACAGCCCAGACTGTACCTGGAACGAGAGAGAGATGGGAGAGGCGTGTGCCGAGTTGAATAGGACTGTGGTGAGGTGACCAGGTGTAAGTAGGCTTGTCAGTTAATTGGAGGTTTTAGGCCTGCTCCCCAACCTAGGTTAATTCATTAACTCCATTTAAAAGCTGGTACCATGACGACCCCAGTGTGTGTCAGGGTTCATCCTCCATCATTGTGTATCTGCATCTTTTGATTCTCTTCAGGCTGATTCTGAACCTGAGCTTGGTCACCTAATCCTGACTTCTAAACTTTTATAAACAACGTGTATTTAAAGAATCCAAATATCCAAAACATAGAGAAACAAAATGCTGGAGGCGGAGCTTATCTTCTCCATCATGAGGAGAAACAAACACACACATTGTCTTTCTGTCTCGTCAATGTAAATAAAGTTTTGAATGTGTGGGAGGAGTCACACACCCAGCTGTGTGTGTGTGTGTGTGTGTGTGTGTGTGTGTGTGTGTGTGTGTGTGTGTGTGTGTGTGTGTGTGTGTGTGTGTGTGTGTGTGTGTGTGTGTGTGTGTGTGTGTGTGTGTGTGTGTGTGTGTGTGTGTGTGTGTGTGTGTGTGTGTGTGTGTGTGTGTGTGTGTGTGTGTGTGTGTGTGTGTGTGTGGGGGATAACATCTCTGTTTTGTTTGGAGACCGTTTCCTTCTGCAGAGATCATTTCCATAAACACAAATACTGACAGAGTAAAACTCTCCCCCCCCTCCCAGCAGACAGACGATGGGACGTCACGTGTCTCTGAACAAACTGTGTTGACTGAAGGAAACTGAAGCGTCTCTGACCGCCGCCGGAGGATAACCAATCAGAATCAGCGAAGGTACAAATGATCGACTTTCTATATTTGAATCCTGACATCAGCGACCTCTCATATCAACAGAATCAACCCAGAGTCACTAAAGAATTATTTAAGAGTATTTTAACATTTCACAAACTTTCAGACAATTACAAAAAAACAACATCAGGAACATCCAGGACTGAAAACTGGAGCCAGCCTGTCAGAGCGTGGTAACTAAGCACAGCAGGAGCTCCACATACACACAGTCAGACATGCACACACACACACAGCGCTGTGCTCCCTCTCTCCCCCACAGCCCTAGTTACCACCTCTGAAGACGGTACAGAGGGGGGATCTCTTCGTCCCCCCATTACACCTCTGACATTCAGACTGAAGGAGAAGCGTCACAGGGGCGTAAATATGACGGCTTTAAACGACATGCTGAACAGGACTATTTCCAAGCTGCAGTTCCTCGACTGGCCACTAGATGCTGACTTTGAATGGGAGTCAGTCCCCCGTGTTAAATTGAATTTCCAACATTGTGTGTTTTTTAAGGTTGCTGCAGGCTCAGAGGTCAGAGGTCATCATGCAGACTATAAAGTGCGTGGTTGTGGGTGACGGTGCTGTGGGGAAGACCTGCCTCCTCATCTCCTACACCACCGGAGCGTTTCCCAAAGAGTACATCCCCACCGTGTTCGACAACTACAGCAGCCAGGTGTGTGTGTGTGTGTGTGTGTGTGTGTGTGTGTGTGTGTGTGTGTGTGTGTGTGTGTGTGTGTGTGTGTGTGTGTGTGTGTGTGTGTGTGTGTGTGTGTGTGTGTGTGTGTGTGTGTGTGTGTGTGTGTGTGTGTGTGTGTGTGTGTGTGTGTGTGTGTGTGTGTACCTGTTTCCATACGTGTGTGTTTACCTGTGTGTGCGTGGTGCATTCAGGTGACGGTGGACGGCAGGACCATCAGTCTGAACCTGTGGGACACGGCGGGTCAGGAGGAGTACGACCGGCTGAGGACGCTGTCGTACCCTCAGACCAACGTCTTCATCATCTGCTTCTCCATCTCAAGCCCCGCCTCTTACGAGAACGTCAAACACAAGTGGCATCCAGAGGTCAGAGGTCAAAGTCCGCCTAGCAACACAGCTCTCATTCTTTAAAGAAGCTGACATGTTGATGGTTCTTTTATATTTATTCACCTGGCCCCTCCCCCTCCTCCTCAGGTGTACCATCACTGTCCCGGCGTTCCTATCATGTTGGTCGGCACAAAGAGCGACCTCCGGAACGACGGGGAAACTCAGAGGAAACTGAAGGAGACGAACCAGACGCCCGTCACCCACCAGCAGGGCGCCGCCCTAGCACGCCAGATCCAAGCCGTCCGCTACCTCGAGTGCTCTGCCCTCAACCAGGACGGCATCAAGGACGTGTTCGCCGAGGCTGTGAGAGCCTTCCTCAACCCGCAGCCCGTCGCCACCAAGAAGCCCTGCGTACTGCTGTAGGACCAAACCGGATCAAACCGGACCGATCCAGGACCCGGCTGCTCCTGTGGTGTCACTTCCTGAGAGACTGAATGAAAGTTTATGCTTCATGTGTTTTTAATGTTTGGGTAGAGTTTTATCTTTGAAGACGCCGAGTGTCTAGCGCTCTGTGGTCGTCAAACGGGGGGGGGGGGGTGTTCAGAACATAAAGCTCGTTGATGTTGTCTCAGCACAATGAACCCGACGCAAAACCGAACGTCCACAGATTTTAAAAAAAAATAAACGATGGTGATGCTGAGCCGGGATGCACACGAGCATGAAGACGAGTAGTTTAGTTGAACCTGATTGGGCGGGACACGTGTATGTTTTCATTATTGGTTTAAATTTGATTGTGTAAAAGATCTCAGAGCTAACCCCGCCCACTTCACAGCCAACGTACGGAAATGTTGAAATCTGACAAATGTTAAGAAGGAAACTTTATGATGAACTTCATCATCATAAAACAGTCTTTCTGAGGACTCGTGTTTCCAGGGTCTTTAAAATGCTCATTTTCTGAACACATCTTCACGCTGCCTTGAAGTAATAATTAAAATCTAATTTAACATCCTCAATCTGTTTCTGCCGTTATTCATGTTGACCTGAATGTTCTGTCGTTCAGCATGAGGAGAAGTGGACGACGACTCAACAAACCAATCAGGGTGAAGTGTGTGGACTGGATGTTACGTGTTAAACATGGTCATTCTTCAAAGTGAAATGAGACGTTCATAAATACAGCAGGGTCCTTCATTACATCACTGCGAGACTACAGGGAGACACTGGTGTTGTAGTCACACTAACCAAGACCGAGACATTTAGAGAACAGACCGAGTCCAGACCAAGACCATAAATATCCCCGAAACATCCTCATCCTGTGTTTAGAGGGTGTGTCACTCACTTAGACCGTAACACCGGGAAGGTTGCATCCATAACCGGGGGATAAAAATCAAACTAAAAATTAATTGAAGTTATTTATTCTTTTAAAAAGAGGTGTTTTCTTTCTAATCGCCGTGATGATGTGGAGACATAACTGATCAGTGGTGGTCTTGACCGGTTTTGATTTAAAATCCTGAGTTAGCCCAGTCTGAGACCGAGACAAGACCGAGTAAAAATGCTTTCGATTCCAACTGAGACCTACAAAAGTGGTCTCCAGACCAGTTTTGAGACCAAGACCGATTTCAAGTACTATAGGAGACACTGAGGACGCTCGTCTACGGTGCGATTAAAGGGACAAAATAGCATGAGATTAATAAAGATAACAAATGCGTTAATTTATTAACTGAGTTAATCGTGATTAACGTGTTTATGATGCCAACTCTATTGAAAACATTAAAGAGCAACATGCTGCCGAATGCTAATGTTAGCCTCAGTGCTAGCATGGCTACACAGGAAAGGTGGTGACGCATGTTAGAGGACGAAGGGTTAACTGAATTCAATTTACTCAAACTTCAAAATGTGATTTTTTTCTTGAAAATAACATTTCAAACAGTAATGTTTCCTGTTTTTGTTCCGTGTCATTAACAAGCAGCAAGTTTGAGCTAAATGCTAATGTTAGCATGCTAATATGCGCAAAGTAGTAATGCTAGCATGTTAACATTAGCAGGTGTGTTTTAGCATGCTAGCATTAGTTCATAAACATCCAAGGCTGATGGGAGGTCATGTGTTTTGCAGATAATTCATTATAAATGTCAGTTATAAATATAAGTATGAGAAACATTCAAATGTTGACCTGATGATGGCGCTAGAGGAAACGTTCTCAGGGTTCATCCTGCGGGGGGGCGGTGTGAAGTCTGGACTTTATTTTATCTTCTGCGTGCGTCTGTTTGAGGAAGTTAGTTTAATAAATAACCAGCTGAAAAACAACTTCCTCAAATCATGAAAGGGCTTCATGCTGTCAGATAACGAGGTCATCAAATTACAGACACACACACACTACAGTAACCCTCCCAACATTGTGATCACAGTTACTTTTACTTTTTTAGATCTCTAGATCTCAACAATCCTCAAGACTCTCAAACTTCAGGAGAAACTTCTCGCTGTGAGGGCCACCAGTGAATGAGCAACTCAAGAAGATTTCAGGATCCGGCTGCGTGAAATGTTGGACACATTTTCAGGAGTTTGTGTGAATACGACTTAAAAGGCGCCGAGCTTGTAGCCTGTGTTTCAGGATGTTGTGTTTTCCTCCTCAGAGGCAGCGAGTCACGTCCTCTTCCCATCCCTCGTCTCCTGCAGACTCTCTCACTGTTCAAACACCAGCAGACGAGTTCTGACCTGTTCAGAGTCCACTTCAACACGTCAGCAGGGTTTCTCTTTTTACGACGAGTAGAAGACATCTCAGCATGCACCTCACAGCATCGAGATGAAGAAAGTGAAGGACACTCAGCCTTTTGTAATGATTCATATCTTTATTAGAAGAAGTGATCTTAACATATCAGCACTTATTCTTCTTTAAGTAAAAACTTTATTAAAAGTCACAAATTGTCCTCTTCATCCAGAGTAAATAAGTGTCAGAGTTGCTCAAAAAATGTCTGAAGTTTCTTGTTCTAAATCCACTCTGATCCTGTATTTGATCATGCCTATAAACCCCTCTATTTCAGCTCTGCTCAGAACAGGCTGTTTCTGTGTCTGTACCTTTAAATGTAAATGAGCTGTGTCTGACCATGCCTCCTCTCTGGAAGGGATTGGGTGTCTCAAGCTTTCTCACTCCATGTCCTATTGTTTACGGTGAGAAGGCAGACTCAGAGGGTAGAACAAACACTTAGCTGTAGGAGTGTCACCCACCTGGGGGAGGGGTTACTGCCCTTTGTGCTGTCATGAAGGGAAAATCTCCAAACGGCCTGTTTGAGCACACATTTTCTGAAAAGTGGAGCAGGCAAAAGACGGAGAGGATGGACTTTTCTCATCATTGGGGGGTTTGAAGACAAACTAGAGACACATTAGAGTAGGAGAAACATGGTGAAGAGGATTTTATAAAATATGAGAGATTAGCAGATGTCACTCACCCTTGTAGCTCGGACGGTTAGTTCCTGCTGATGGTCTGGACATGTTGAGAACATGCGTTAGGATGTTGCTAACGGCGTGCTCACTGTCAGGTTAGTGTGAAATATAAACACTGTGAGTATGTTGCCAATATGTTTGTTTGCTGTTTTGGACGCAGCCTCTGCTTTGGGTTGAAATGTCCTAAAAGGGCCACCATACAAAAGAAACTCTTTGGAAGTTAGCATGGTCTATCCTTATTTAAAGCCACAGAAACACATTTTATTTATTGTTGCTTCAGTAAAATGTCTCAACATGTAAACCCCCTCCTCTTAGAATAAAATGAGGCTTTTACTTTGAAATGCTACAGACGTCCTCAGGTCCAGAGAAATGAACTGTCCCACCAGTTATGTCAGAATGAGTATAGCAGTTCTAGGACCTGCACACTTAGGATGAAAGAAAGAAAGAGAAAAGGACGAGGAGCTGGCTCTGACATTTGACCCCAACAACTTCTTTCAGTCAGGCCCAAAGGCTGATGGGAGCCAGGCGGAGGATGCTAATGTTAGCCAGGAGGCTGATCGAATGTGCATACGTTGATTTAAACCAAATCCTGGGAGGGCGATTTCAGGAGGCCGGACATTTCTGCGGACGGGCCTGCTCTCTGTAATAAAGGTTTCAAGTTTACTAATCATTTACATGTAAAAAGTATTTTACATTCTAGAAGTTTATTTAACAATCTGAGCCGTTCACCTTCATCGGGATCGTCACAGACGGGTTTAAGATCCTTTAGACGCTTCAATATTTACCTTTTTTTAACACAAAAAGTTTAGCTAGAACGCTAAACTTTTTCAATGTCCTTAAATCCCTGTGAGGGTCATTTCATATTCGCAGACTTCGTCACAAACGCTTCAGCCTCTTGGAGCTGTTCTCAGATTTGAACAAGAGCAGACCTGTGTGAGTGTTTTCTGTCACAACATGAGGATCCAGTTAAGAGCTGATGAGTAACGATCGCACAACGCTGACAGAGAAAATGAGCTGCTCTGTCTGCGCCGTCGCACAGACACAGGTTTGTTTTGACGGTGTCACATTTCTTCACAAAGAGGAGGTGAAAGAGAAGAGGACGGGTGTCAGTCATCAGCGGCTGTTTGCAGTTTAATTTGATTTAAAATAAATTTTTTAATCCATCTTATAAAACGCTCCAGACTGTGACATCATCACAACAAACTTTGAGGGTGGGGCGACACATTTAAAGCTGTACCAGAATTTTAAATGTAGAAATGAATCCAAACCCCGCCGCAGGATCAACAAACCTTCTGGAGACATTCAGAAACTTTGCAGTCATTTTTATGGAACGTAAAAAAAATGGGTCCAGATTTTTAAAAAGAAACGGAATTTCCCTTCAACATCTCTGCAGTCTTTAAACTTTAAATCTTGACACGACTGAGGATAAATTCAGGATTTAAATTTCCACATCATGGTTCAGGTTCAGCCCCCCCCCCCCCCCCTGTTCGTAACTCACATTTTCTGTGTTTTTTTAACCGGCGTAGTGCAAAACTAATCTGTTCCCAGAGATCCCACACCTTCTCTGACGGCAGGAAGTGATGTCACAGGTCTGTGTTGGTTGACACAAAGAAGAAGAAACTGAAAATCCAGCCGGTAAACAACGACACAGTTGATGGACAGTTTTTGTAAACACGGTGGTCCCTTTGTCCTGATTGGTCTGCACAGTGAGCAGTCACTGTCTGAGGTCTGGTGTGTGTGCAGGAGGACAGGTGAGCTGCAGGTGAGCTGCAGGTGTGTCTGGGGATCTGACCTCTCAGGTTCAGTACGGGACGGCGGCTCACGCCTGTTTGGGTCTCTCCTCATCCCTCAGCATGCTGATGTACAAACGCAGGAAGGAGTAACACACACCCATCGAGCAGTACACCGAGGTCACCAGCAGGGGTAGGAAGGGCAGCTTCTGTTGCCACGACGACAGAGGGAAGATAACCTCACATGCGATGGCGACTGGGATCAGTCCCAGAAGGTAGACGGACTCCAGAGGATGAAGGAGAGAGGCCACTCCGCTGAGAGCGAAGAGTCAGAGATATGATTAGGAAAACAAAGCATTCAAAACAAAGCATTCTGGGTAATGGAGTCATTGTTTAGCAGGCCAAACATCTACAGTCTGTACAGTCATGTTACTGACCAACATGCTCAGGAAATAACGCAGCGGATAAATCTACATTTTGTGTAGTGACGCAGTGTGCAGCAGGACATTGTGTGTGTGTGTGTGTGTGTGTGTGTGTGTGTGTGTGTGTGTGTGTGTGTGTGTGTGTGTGTGTATTGGCTGATGAAGGAACAGTTTGACTCTACATTTGTTTCAACATTTGGTGACTAGAAATTCTGTTTCTTGTTGCCATGGTATCCATACAGACATGGATATTGTTGTGTGTTTACCTGTTGCTGTGAAGCTTCGTCAGAGCGATGAAAGAGAAGATCACAAACATCAGCATCAACGCAACTTTGATGGGCAACTCTGCAACACAAAGTCAACAACAAAAATCAACATTGTTTGAGCGTTCATAACCACAGATTGTAAATATGAATCGGGTGAAGCCTGAGTGACGTCACCCGTCTGTTCCTGCAGGAGGCGCTGGAGTCCCATCAATGGCGGTCTCCATGCTGGAAATGCTGTCTCAGTCTAACTTTCAGTCAACCTAACGACAGGCTGAGAGCTGGAGCTGAGGCGGGCTTTAAACCTCCTGACAAACTGTTACACTGTGCCCGCCTGTCAATCAGGTCAGCTACACGCCTTATTGTGAATAACTCTTATCCTTCATCAAATCAAAACTGATGAGTCATCAAAACATTCACCCCCGTACAGTGTGTGTCGATCGAGACATGAGCTAATCAGACCTATTTGCATGTTTCTAATAAGCTCCACGAGCAGAAACGTGCTCAAACTAGGATCAATATTGGAGATGCTTTTGAAAAATGGAGAGAGGTTAGAACACAGAAATGTTTACAGACTGATGCAGAGCTGGATAAACACTGAAGCTTCAGTGTTCACCACATGGCAACCTGTGTGAGCATTGACTCTAGAGAGGAGGGGGGAGACAGTTCTCTACAATGGCTGTATCCAAATTGCCAAGTACCTACTCAATCTGGCAGTAGTCAGTACCTACTATCCGTGCTGTATACTGTTTAGTATCTACTATTCAGTAGGCGCGCACAGCAGGCAGATATTTGTGCCTACTTCGTGTGATTCATTCAGTATGGAAGTGACGTCATTTACGTTACCCGAACTGGCCGCATCCATGCGTTTTTTTTTTGTTGAGCTTTATTCAAGAAGAGTAATGCTCATATACAGTCAGGTAAACAAAAAACAATATCACAAGTAAAGGACAGATTAAATAACTAAATAACATACAGTACATAAAGGAAAGTAGAAATGAAAGAGAGTAATATACAGAATATAAAATAAACCAATAAAAACACATTTAAATAGTGAAATCGGGGCGCGCTGGTGGCGCAATGGTTAGGGCGAGCGTCCCATGTGTTGAGACTCTCGTCTCGAGCGGTAGGCCCGGGCTCGCTTCCACCCGTGGCCCCTTTCCGCATGTCATTCCCTGCTCTCTCTCCCTGGTTTCCGACTCTATCCACTGTCCTTTCTCTGCATTAAAGGCACGAAAAAGCCCCAAAAAAAAATCTTTAAAAAAAAATAAATAAATAGTGAAATCATTATTTAAATAGAGAGGAAAGGTTTTATAATAATGCAGATATTTGTTATATTTTCTGTTGTTAATTAAAAGTAGTGATTTCAGTCGGGACTTTAACTCTAGATTAAAAATTGATTAAATTAATCCACGCTCGTTTGTTTTGATTTGGAGGCGCACGTGACGATTTACGTTTAATTTCGCACAGCATTGTGGGTGGTAAAATACAATTCATTTCCTGAAAAGATGCATCCAATCCATACTGCATAAAACCCGAAAGTTAGAATCCATACTGAAATGTTCAGTATACTGAGGTGGACCCAAAAAATGCATACTGAATGACCACAAAAGTTCATTATACTGAAACTCCATACTGAATAGTACGTACTGCCTACTAAACTGTGGCTATTCAGAAAGGGCCAATGTTTAGAATTTGGACTGCAGTATCCATTTTAAACACTAGGGGTCAGAGTTATATATTGCTCCTTTAAAGATTGAAAATCTGGTATCGTGACCCTAAATAACTTGAAATGGGTTTAAACTCATCGCTTTAAAATCTTTTTAGAGATCAGATTTGAATCTGAATTTGATCAGTTAAAAATAATCTAAATGTATTTATTTATGAAGCCTGTCGACCAAAGTGAGCGAGCTCAGTCCTGTCTGTCAGGTGTTTACCTGCGGGGGTGAAGATCAGCGGGAACAGGGAGTAATGACCCGTGGTGCTCAGGATCAAGAAGATCCCAGCATCCTCTCTGCTCTCCACCGCCAGGATGCTGCAGGAAGAGAGACGGACAAAAAGCCTCCTTTATTACTGATTACTGATTCAAAGAACGATGGTGGACAGAGAAGACAGGGTATGCACGTGACATCACAGGAGGCGGGGTCACAGCAGTTACAGCCTCCGGGTGCCAGAAGCTCATACTGCGTTCTGACAGAGCGGTCTGAGGGGAGAGAACACCTGAGCATGTCTGTGATTCTGACCTGAGCGGCAGGATGGCGAGGAGGATGGCCTTCTCGTGGACGTGCCAGCCAAACATGAAGGAGCCGAGAGCGCAGAGCAGCAGGCAGCGCAGGAAACCCCGAGCACCACGGGGGACGCCGCCAGATGGACGCCGCAGCTGGCTGCAGAACACAAGTTGGAGTCAGTCACTGCATTTCTTTACTGTGTTTTCCTCTGAATGTACGGTCATCCAAACTAATAATAATAGCAATAATAATAAATTAGACTTTTATAACTCAAAGACACTGAACAAAGAAAACAAAACAATGAAGAAGGAGGAGGACAGAGTTAGTGGTTGTAGGCAATGTAGAAGAAGGGAGTCTTTAGGGATTTCTTGAAGGTGGAGAGTGAGTGAGTGATGTGTTGAAATGTGTTTGTTGCACACAGACGGACTCTACACAGTTTGTTTTTGTTTGCGACTCGAGTGAGACGATGACACAAGAGAGAAACAAACTGCAGGTCAATATAAACACATGCACAGACTGAAGGGGGGTGTGTGTGTGTGTGTGTGTGTGTGTGTGTGTGTGTGTGTGTGTGTCTCTGATGGTTTCTGGAGTGAGTTCCAGAGGGGGGGAGCGGCAATAGAGGAGGCCCTGTCCCCCCAGGAGCCAAGACCAGTGGTTAATCCTGCAGAGGTGGGGGACTCGAGTCACATGACTTGACTCGAGTCGCATGATGCAAATTTGAGACTTGAGACTTGCTTGACTGACAGTGACAAAAGACTTGACTTGACTTATACTTGAGACAGATGACTTGAAATGACTTTACTTTTAGGACTTAAATTTTGCATTTTTCGAGAAGCGAGGATTTATTTTTATTATTTTTTTGGTGGGGGGGGCATGATAACTGCAATGCGTAGGAGTGCTTGCAGCATACCAGCAGCAGAGGCTAGGCCAATGTAACAGGCAATCAGGGCGTGATCACACTGGCAATCTGTACCGTGCCTATAAGCACTCTGCACCCCTAAAGCCCGTTTCGTTTGACCAGTGTGATCGCTCCACCTGGCACGCTTCAGAGAGGTGTGCTTCGGCACAGTACACTTCATGCACGAGCACAGGCACAGAGGTACACAACGCTGACAGCCTTCATTATGGAGAAATCCGGGAGTGTCCTGTCTGTATCTGACTAACATGACTCAAAATAAAACACAAAATAGCTTTCATGTTCTCTGTGTTGTGTTGTGTTTGATGTGCAGACGCGGACTCGACTGTGTGTCCCATCTTTTTTGGGGGATACGCTGCAGGACGGGGAGCCATTGGAGATTATGTGGGACTGGGGTGATGGGGTCACGGGTGCAGGAGTGTGTTGATTAGGCGAGCAGCAGGGTTCTGGATATGTTGTAGTTTGTGAGGGTCTCGAGGAGAGGGGTGGGCGGAGGTGGGCACTGTTTCTCAGATGGAAAAAGGCTGTGGCGTGTTTCCCCCTCTCACTCTGCAGCACTGTGTGAAGTGTTTTTAATTTTTTATTCTTCTCTGTCTTGTTCTCAGCAGAAGTCTGCTTCGGTTCTTTTCTGCACCTGGTTGTGTTTCTGAACCGCCCCCTTACGACCTAAGACCGTCTGCTCTACACTGAGTTTTTAATGCTCTTCAAATGGCGTCTTTTCTGCACTCTCTTGCACTTATAAAAAAAGATGGTGACGTCGTTCTTTTGAAGAGTTCATTGGATAAAGTGAAGCGACACAGTAACATCTGATATTAATGAATGGATTCAGACGGTCGAGTCGCAGCTCAACGTGTCTCACCAGGACGGACAGCAGAGTGCAGACGAGTGTGATGGACGGCGAGATGGAGGGGAGGACTGAGTGCTGAAACTCTTGAACCAAGCCGCCCGTCATGGAGGCTCGAGGAAGCTCCGCCTCCTGCAGCAGCTTCAGACGAACACCTGATGGATCATTCATAAAAGAACACACAAAAACTTAAGTAAAACATCCCGTGAGCTGAGTGGACAAGGACAATCTGAGGGGGCGGGGACTCACCGAGCATCGCCAGGATCTTGTCCAGGATGTTGTAGAGGGCCCAGATGTTGGGGGCCCAGTAGGCGTGACAGAGGCCCCTCTTAAAGGGGAAGAGACGGGACAGGACCTGAGGGAGCTGACCCTGAAATCAACACAGAACCAGATTTAAGTTACAAGTAATCCTCTGAGACAAACTGAACAACACGTCCACAGCTCCCGTCAGTGGATCTGTGACTCCGGCAGTAAAGAAGCTTCAACATCGAAACGCTCAGATTTAAAGAGATACTTCCTCTTTTGTTAACAGGTCTCTCAGGTGTGCCTTCCCACAATCCTCTGCACCATTCCTGCACACACACCCTGTATCTGCAGAATGAACTGTGTGTGTTGTTCTGATGTTTGTGACATTCTTCTCCGTCTGTGAGTGAGTGAGTGTGGGTGGAGGGAGATGCTGTCGCTCACCATGGCGATGAAGGGGCCAAAGGACAGAGCGCATACGGAGACCACAATGGCGCCCAGAGCCAGCAGACGCAGCGGACTGAAACTCATCCACCTGATCGAGCCGTCTGAACAAAAACAAACAAGATAACATAGTCAGAACTAACAGAACAATTGGATGCAGAACAGGGCGGGGAGCCAGATGAGACATGGCAGGACACGGGTGATGTGTTCACGGGAGCGGGCGGGTCTGGGTGAGAAGGCGTGCAGCAGAGTTCTGGTCATTTTGAGTTTATTTATCGTACCTTTGTTGTCCTGACTGAAGCAGAAGCTCCTTAGCAGGTAGACGCCATACGCCGGAGCCACGTACAGGTAGATGTGCTTCAGGTTGAGCAGGATGGAAAACAGCAGCGCCCCCTGCAGGTGCTGAGACTGAAACACACAAATAACTGACACATTTAGAAAGCCTTTGAAGTTAGAGGAAGTGTTTAAATACGACACGATCAGATACAGGTGAGCTCGTACCTGCAGGTGTTTAGACACCGACAGCAGCAGGATGCCAAACAGGAAGCCGTTATACTGGAAGTGAAGATCTGAGACAGAGTGAAGGAAGTTCATCGAGTTCACCGTGACCATTGAAAGTTCATTTGCTCTCTGATATGGGAAGACGGTTTGACGTTCACGTCTGCAGAGCTTACCGTTTACATGTTGTTGTTTTGTTATTTAGAATCTTTTCTTTTGATGCCATCGATCATTAAAACAACAGATTGTATTGTTTTATAACGGTAGTGACGGAAAGAATAAGATTGCTGATACAAGCGGCTGTAATGAGTTTCCTCTGGAGGTCTGGGCTCGACTTAGGGAGAGGGGGAGGAGCTTAGACAATCGGGGGGAGCTCGGAGTAGAGCAGTTACTCCTTCACATCGAAAGGAGTCAGCTGAGGTGGTTTTCAGGACACGTCCTACTGGGAGGAGACCTCGGATAGACCCAGAGTTCCCTGGAGGGATTATATATCCCGTCTTGCCTGGGCCTCAGAGGAGGAGCTGGAAAACATTAATGGGGAGAGGCTAGCCTGGGTTACTTACTTCACCTGCAGTCACTGTGACTCCACCTCGGACAAGTGGAAGAAAATGGAGGGATGGACCATTTGACAACACGTGGGATCAAAAAGAGTATCAAATATGATGAGGAGCTAAAAACAGAACATGAGATTTACAGACAGATATTCTCACCAAACTCTGTGAGAACCTGTTGAATATGTGATGGTTCTTTAAATTTAGAAATCTAGATTTAGTGAGTCGTGTCATCTTCTCCTTCTGTCTTTGTTTCTGTCTGCGTTTTGAGTCCCAGCTGAAGGATACGGTCGACGATGAGGAGGCCGAAGTTCCAGAGAAGAAGAACGGCGAGGACGAAGGAGGGTCGATTCAAAACATCCCGAGAACCTTTCTGCTCCTGAACGCACCTGCAGCACCTGGAGGGGGAGGAACAGAGCCAATCAGGACCGAACTGATGGAAACAACATCTGCACACCTGCAGCACCTGGAGGGGGCTATTACAGCTCTGCTCAGAACAGGCTGTTTCTGTGTCTGTACCTTTAAATGTAAATGAGCTGTGTCTGACCACGCCCCCTATCTGGAAGGGCTCGGGTGGCTCTGGCTCCTATTGTTTACGGTGAGAAGGCAGACTCGGAGGGCACAACAAACACCTAGCTGTGGGAGTGTCACCCACCTGGGGAGGGGCTACTGCCCTTTGTGATGTCATGAAGGGAAAATCTCCAAACAGCCTGTTTGAGCACACATTTTCTGAAAAGTGGAGCAAGGAAAAGACAGAGAGGATGCACTTTTCTCATCATTAGGGGGTTTGTAGACAGACGAGGGACACATCGTGTTAGAACAACATGGTGAAGTGTGTTTAGCAGGAAATGTGACCTTTAAACTACTCTAAATTTCTCTCTCTCTCTCTCTGGAACTGACGGTTGTGTTTGAACTCTGTACTCACTCTTTGGCAGCGTAGATAAAAACCAGGTCAGTAAAAATGACCGACAGTCTCTGGAAGAGGACGGTGGGCGGGCTGGCATAGTTCAGATTCTCCACCTGCAGCATGTTTCTGTCAAAGTGTCGAGCTACGTGGGACAGACCGAACTCGAACAATGCGAACAGCGGCGGGTAGTCCAGAGTCCACTCTGAGGTGTTCTGCAGGGAAGAGAAAGACGTCGGTTAATAAACTGAAGCATCATCGTTAAAGGGACAGGACAGTGGATAGAGTCAGAAATCAAGAAGAGAGAGAGAGAGAGAGCGGGAAAGGAGCCACAGGTGGGACTTGAACCCGGTGGACCACAGTCTATGTACAATGGGGCATGCACACTGACCACTAGGCTGCCGGCGCCTCATCTCAGTTGATATTTTGATGAGCTGCAGAAGTGAAAGTGTCTTTTTTAAAGACGTTAGATCTTTCACTCTTTTCAGACTGCGATTCAGTAAACGTGCCGTCAATAAGCCCCGCCCTCATCTCATCTTTGTACGTTCATATTGATTCTGTGACGGTGTAATATTGGCGTCCCAGTCTATGAGGTCCGATTGCGTTACGGCGTTGAGTAAGCACAGAACAGCGGGAGCTCCACATACACACTCAGGCAGACGTGCACACAGTGCTGTTCTTCCCCGCTGGCTCAGCTGATCCCGTCTCTCCTCTGTAACGCCTGTTACGACCTCTGAAGACGGTACAGAGCGGGGGTCACTTTGTCCCCCCCGTTACGCCTCCACGACATTCAGACTGAAGGTGAAGCGTCACAGGGGCGTAAATATCACGACTTGAAACAGGCATGCTGAACAGGGCAGCTGAGACAGAAATACTGTAAAACCGTGCGTAAGTAGCCTAGTGGTTAGTGCCCCATGTTCGGACGCTGTAGTCCTCCAGGCGGTGTAGTCCGGGTTCAAGGGTTCAAGTCCGACCTGTGGCTCCTCTCCCCCTCTCTCTTCCAGGTTTCTGACTCTAATAAACAATCCTAACCTATTATAACCTAGTGTTGTGTGTTATACTGACCTCATGGTACCACCTGGACACGGCAGGCTGTGGGTGATGGCCAACCAGTTCCTGTGCACCTCGAAGTCTGTGGAATGACTGACGGAGAGAAACAAACTCAAACCCCATCCAACAAAACGCCACACAAACGTACACTCACGTATTCACAAGAGTAACGAGAGAAAGAACTCTGTGAAGATTTCTTTATGAGACGTATCAAATATTATCAAACGTTATTTAATGATGCTGTTTCCTGCATTTTTGTTTTTATCATCTAAATAATAACTCTTTACCATTTACTGAGGCGTTAATGCTTCTTTTATTTTAAAGGTCCAACCAGTAAGATGTGTAGTGAGTGAAATGATAAAGTGAGCTTACTATATGATCAGACATTAAGGAAACATGCTATGTTGAAGTGCTGGCTTCTCTGACAACAATGCAGCAGCCAGTATGTCCTCCTTCTAACTTTAGATTCTGGTCCTGAATGCTCTGGATTTGTTTGGACCAGAGAAGGTAGGCGCTTTTAAGGTACTTCGTTTTGCCCCCCCCCCCTTAGTTTGCCAGATATGAGAGCAGTTATCAGGTCAACAGGTGTTGCAGTGATGGAAGCGGGCAAGAGAAGTGGTTCAGATAGAAGTGATTGTACCCGACCTAAAAAGCCTCTGCATGTTTCTAATAAGCTCCACGAGCACAAGCGTGTTCAAACTAGGATCAATATTGGAGATGATTTTGAAAAATGGAGAGAGGTTAGAACACAGAAAGGTTTACAGACCGATGCAGAGCTGGATAAACACTGAAGCTTCAGTGTTCACCACATGGCAACCTGCGTGAGCATCAACTCTAGAGAGGAGGGGGGAGACAGCTCTCTACAATGTTTACAGTTTAGACTGCAGTACCCATTTTAAACTCTAGGTGTCAGAGCACTTCAACTAAACATATTTTTTAATCAAAACATGCTTATTGTGGTTTTATGTAAATTCATAAACATGTGAACCACCAACCTGCCAAAGGACTACAGATGGAAATCAGCTTGTATCTACAATTTGGCATATGAACATGTTCATCTTAGCAGGTGTGTCATCCATATTTATTGAATAACTATGTAAATTAAATAATTTCTGATTATATAATTATATAATTTAATTCAGAATTTAGAATTGCTGTGGGGTTTTTTAGTTCACAAATCAGCTCTTTATAGAGTCTTTTAAGGAACGGCGCCATCTAGCGGAAGATAAGATGAGATGAGCCGGGACATAATAACACGTCGACTTGTTATATAATTAGAAAATAACAAACGAATACACACGGTTTGGTATCTCTGACATTTATCCTGAAAACGACGCTTAAACAACTTTATTATTGAGTTTAAAGTTGTCTTTTCTAGCTAACGTTAGCTTTTCAGTCTGTTAGCCGGATGCTAACAGATGCTAAATTATCCCCTTTTAAATAAAACAATCGTCTCGAAGCGCAACTGCTCAATGAAACTATGTCACATAAAATATATCCCCACTCACTATGCGCTGATAAACAGACATTTCAGGAAAGAAACTCCCAGTGCTAACGCTGGAAACCAGCTCCAACTGTCCATCACGGGCGCCGCCATGACAGTGACGATGTTGATTTTGTATCCAAAACTTTATTGACAGCTCGGTGAGAGAAACAAGACTGGGCGCGAGAGGGAAGAGATTTCGTGAACAAACCGACATATATATAAAATAGTATCGGTATTCATTAATTATTGTGATTTGTATATTTTACATGTAGAAATGTCTTTCGCTGTCACACACTCGACGATCTCAGTGAGTTTCAGAGGTCCTGCGGTCTTTGAACGCAACAGCAGGACGTTACTGTTCAGAGGTCCTGCGGTCTTTGAACGCAGCAGCAGGACGGACTACTTTACTTTTCTCCTCGAGTCGTTTCCGGTCTGCGTCCTTTCTCTAACAGTGTTTACACGGTTGTTCGGGTTGTTCGGGTCGCTTTAGTGTTTCGGTAAAGTTTGTTAAACTGGTTCACCAGCTTCCGGGATGAACATGCTGCTGCGGCGCTGTTACCTGCTGCGGAGGGTCGGAACACGCAGAGGTGAGTTAAACAACCCCTCAGGTACGTTCTGTCTCTGACCTCGTTGTCACCGGCTCTCTCAAACAAGTGACGTCATACCAACGGAAGCCCACTTTGACAGGTTTGTTTACTTTCTCACTGCGCTCTGGATCAGGGGCGGGTCCACACTTTTTGGACTCAGGTGGCCCACCAAGGACCCTGACTCATGCAGGGGGAGCCTGAATGTGCACACAAACACACACACAATGAAATGAAGCTGACTGATGATTACTACAGAAGCCCCAAAGAGACACACATCCAGACATCTGATTTCACCTCACTTTCCCGTGATAATGAGTAATCTCTGGTTGTTTTTTCAAGCGTTGACTCATTTCTGTCATTCTCTGACTACGCTGGTTTCCCTGTGATAACGAGATAATTACTCAATAGTTGTTATTCCAAGAAAACCTTGTTTTTTTTTATCTTGAGATATTATAAAGCTAGATGATAGATCATTTGCAGGGACATTCACAAACCATGAAGGAGGACAGGACAAAGTCCTAATGGACCAATAATTATAAAACAATAATATTATAAACGTGTGTGTGTGTGTGTGTGTGTGTGTGTTAGATGTCCACATGACGGCGCCCTCAGCGACCTTTGACATGAGGAAAGTGGAGCTGATGCCTCTGGAGCAGAGAAAGCTCACGTTTGACTCTCACACCATGGCGACGGAGCTGGAGAGCAGCGGTGAGAGAATTATGATTTATTTTTAAATGTGAAATAATGAAATTTCAAACAGCCGTATGTGTGATCAGCAGTAAAGATCAGACAGCAGAACACCTCCCACATCTCTGAGTGTATGTTAATTTATTAGATAGATACTTTATTGATCCTGAGGGAAATTCAAGCATCCAGTAGCAGGTTACAAAGACGTACATGACATGAAACATTTGTTAAAAATGAACCACAAACACAACGCCCCCCTCCCATACATATATATTAACCTGAAAAGAATATTTAAGAATACCCCTAGATGAATCAACATTTTTCAGCAATGTTTAAAAAGAATAAAATTATCAAAAAATATGAAGTCTGTTTGTTGTCGTGGTCAGGTTTTTCAAAGCATCAGGCCGAGCTGATCGTCTCCGCTCTCGTTACCTTGACGACGGCCAACATGGACATCGTCTATAAAGACATGGTGACCAAAGCTCATCAGGTACAATGCTTTTTTTAATTATTTTATACATTTATTCAAGAAAGTATAATAACAGAGGATATAATGACTCTGCCAATGTGAAGGGGAGAGGAGAACTTTTATCAAGAGGACACTCTCTAAACTTGTGAGATAAGTTTCAAACAAAGCTGCCTCTCTGAGCCAGACAGGACGACTCAAAGACAACAACACTCACGACGTCGTCATGGTAACGGCTCCAGAGCGTCTCCACACATGTCGATGAAGTGTGGAGCCACTGACTGATTTCACGCCTGGTTATATTAATACAGTCATGTCAGAGTCATATTTACAGACTTTATTTACGGAGTGTTTTTTTTTTGAAGGCACACAGAGGTGGAATTGTTTTCCTGATCTCTAGAAAGTTTGAGCGTCACATCTCTTATAAAAACTTGCCAGGTAAAATCTATGTGCAGGAAACACTTGGCTGAATAATGGATCGTTTAAATACAGCAGAGACGCAGTTTGCTCTGCAGTGCAATTAGAGGAACATTTAACCCTTTATATGTGTTTGGGAATCAGAAAGCCGTGCTCCCTCAGTGTGCTTTCTCAGTGCGCATCTGTAGTCATACTGGCAGTTACATAGTATTTCCAAGTCTCACTATTCTCTATTTGTGTGTTTGTGTTTGAGGAAATCGCATTGCAGCAGATTGTAGCTCACCTGGACTCCATCAGGAAGGACATGGTGATCCTGGAGAAGAGCGATTTCGCAAACCTGCGATCGGAGAACATGGTACGACTGCAGGGTCGATATCCACCAACAAAGATTAAATGAAAGTCCAGAGGATCCAGATTTTTTAAGATCAATATCCAACCACAGAAACTGGAAACTAATGATCAACGACCCTTTGAAGGGGCCCCAACCCTTATGTTGGGAACCGCTGAACCGCAGTGCATTAGTATTAAATAATGTCAGAGAGAATCTAAACTTTTACTTAATGTTAAAACTAAAGACGTAAAACGTTTAGTGACGTGGGGTTTAAATGAAGGACTGTAGTCGATACTGTTTACGTTGTAACTTTAAGTGAAGTGAAGGATCTTAATACTTCTTTCTCTCTCTGTCTGAATGTTTCGTGTCGTAGAAAATGAAGCGAGAGTTGGAGCAGCTGCAGAACAGAATCAAGGTGAGCAGCTTTGATATAGAAAACATTTGAATAGAAACTTGACTTTGTGTCGTAAAGATTCAGTCTGACGTGTTTGTGGATGTTTTTGTTCAGGAGGAGAGTAGGAAAGTCAGAGCAGAATCCAAACTGGACATTAACCTGGAGAGCAGCAGGATCTCTGACATGGTGTGTACTAAAGAGTGTGTACTGAGGAGTGTGTACTAAGGTGTGTGTACTAAGGAGTGTGTACTGAGTGTGTGTACTTAGGAGTGTGTATTAAGAAGTGCGTACCAAGTAGTGTGTACTAAGAAGTGTGCACTAAGAAGTGCATACTAAGAAGTATGTACTAGAAGTATGTACTAGAAGTGTGTACTAAGAAGTGCATACTAAGTAGTGTGTACTAAGTGCATACTAAGAAGTATGTACTAGAAGTATGTACTAGTAGTGTGTACTAAGAAGTATGTACTAGAAGTATGTACTAAGAAGTATGTACTAGAAGTATGTACTAGAAGTGCGTACTAAGAAGTGTGTATTAAGTGCGTACCAAGTAGTGTGTACTAAGCTTGTGGTCAGTCTACCTGTGATGGTTATGACATCATCCCTAAATCAAATCCACCATGGAGGAAATGAACAGGATTTTTACTTCCTGAACCACAGTGTCGAGCTCTCTACTACTAACGAGATCGTTATGGACAGTTTAAATCTATTTGAAAAAAATATACAGATTGCATTTCTTCTTCTAACCAGCAGAGGTCGACTACTAAATGCTACAATTATAACTTGAACTTATGTACTAGAAGTGCGTACTAAGAAGTGTGTATTAAGTGCGTACCAAGTAGTGTGTACTAAGTGCATACTAAGTATGTATGTACTAAGAAGTGCGTTCTAAGTATGTACTAGAAGTATGTACTAAGAAGTATGTACTAGAAGTATGTACTAGTAGTGTGTACTAAGAAGTGCATACTAAGAAGTATGTACTAGAAGTATGTACTAAGAAGTGCATACTAAGAAGTATGTACTAGAAGTATGTACTAAGAACTATGCACTAGAAGTATGTAGAAGTATGATGTTTTTGTTCAGGAGGAGAGTAGGAAAGTCAGAGCAGAATCCAAACTGGACATTAACCTGGAGAGCAGCAGGATCTCTGAAGTATGTACTAGAAGTGTGTACTAAGAAGTACATACTAGGAAGTATGTACTAGAAGTATGTACTAAGAAGTATGTAGAAGTATGATGTTTTTGTTCAGGAGGAGAGTAGGAAAGTCAGAGCAGAATCCAAACTGGACATTAACCTGGAGAGGTGTGTGTACTAAGGAGTGTGTATTAAGAAGTGCGTACCAAGTAGTGTGTACTAAGAAGTGTGCACTAAGAAGTGCATACTAAGAAGTATGTACTAGAAGTATGTACTAAGAAGTATGTACTAGAAGTAATGTACTAGTAGTGTGTACTAAGAAGTGCATACTAAGAAGTATGTACTAGAAGTATGTACTAAGAAGTATGTACTAGAAGTATGACCTAGTAGTGTGTACTAAGATGTATGTACTAGAAGTATGTACTAGAAGTGCGTACTAAGAAGTGTGTATTAAGTGCGTACCAAGTAGTGTGTACTAAGTGCATACTAAATATGTACTAGAAGTATGTTCTAGAAGTGTGTACTAAGAAGTGCATACTAAGTAGTGTGTACTAAGAAGTGCGTTCTAAGTGTGTATTTAGAAGTGCGTACCAAGTAGTGTGTTCTAAGAAGTGTGCACTAAGGAGTGTGTACTAAGTAGTGTAACTAGGAGTGTGTACTAAGAAGTGTGTACTGAGGAGTGTGTACTAAGGAGTGTGTACTGAGGAATGTCTACTAAGGAGTGTGTACTGAGGTGTCTCCCTGTAGTCTCAGTGATTTAAAAGAAGGACACTGCTGCATCTTTGAATGTCTCATTTTACTTTAACAAACTGTCAGACAGCTCAGTCCAAAGTAATATCCACCTTATGACATCACACATTGACCTTTGTTACCGTTCCATTGAGCTGAGAAACAACTCTTAAAACAATCTCATTCAGGTATTGTGTCATTTTTTTTTTATTTGTCAGTTCACAGAGCAGGAGAAGAAACTGATGGAGGCGAGTACAGAGTTTCATCACAAGGTGAATATTTCTATAACACTACAACTAAAGTTCTCATAACACAGCTCAAATGGGACCGCCAACTTTTTCAGCCGCTCTGATTCCGTAAGTAAATTTCCCGGTTCAAACATTCGATTCGGCACCAAAACAGTGTTAAGAATTGAGAGAATGACGAAGGGACAAGACTGTGTACTTAATTTACAACCTGAGGCGAGGAAAACAAGTAGACTGACCACTAGCTTGTGGTCAGTCTACCTGTGATGGTTATGACATCATCCCTAAATCAAATCCACCATGGAGGAAATGAACAGGATTTTTACTTCCTGAACCACAGTGTCGAGCTCTCTACTACTAACGAGATCGTTATGGACAGTTTAAATCTATTTGAAAAAAATATACAGATTGCATTTCTTCTTCTAACCAGCAGAGGTCGACTACTAAACTATACTACTAAATGCTACAATTATAACTTGAACTTAATAAAAACGTAATACTAATGCAACACTGATATAACACTACTAGTGCTCTGATACTTTCTCAGAAATCCGACCTGGAACACGACAACATGGAGATCAATAAGAAGATGGACCTGCAGGTGGCGTCGCTCAAAACCCTCCTCGAGTCTCTGAAGCTGGAGACCATCCGCTACCTGGCAGGTACGCCGTCACACAGTACTCAGAGGGCGGAGGCAGTATTAACACTCCTACAGTAATAAAACTGACACTGTTTGTTCCTTCTCAGCAACTGTATTCTCGTGTCTCGCCATCGCTCTGGGAGTTTACCGCCTGTGGAGGTGAAGAAACAACGGACTGACCACTCGCCTTCATCTGCTGCACAAACTGGTTCCTGTTTCATCACCCGGAGTGGGCGGAGCTTCTGCTGCTGCTACAAATGTAGACATTGTTCGCATGCGTCAACACCCGGCTAGTAAACGGGCCGGGGCGCTCTTATTGGAAGTTTAACGGTAAACTATTAAAGATTGTTCTTAACAAACCTCAGAGATTATAAATAGTCAAACAGGAGGTTCTACTCGGATCATTATTTAAAGTCTCAGTAACGTTTTACTCCTCAATGTTGGAGTTCACACATTTTATTATTTTCAGCCGACAGTCACTTTTATTCCATGAGGATTTTAAACGCTGAACTTTTACACGTTACTATGGCAACTTCAATGTATGAAAAAGCTCGGCGTGATCCTGTCAGTCGTGTACTCGCTGCCGGAGAAATAAAAAGTGCTGCAGTCAAAATGTTCTTAATTTTAAACTTCCTGTGTGAAGAAACCTCCTGTGGACAAATATGAGGCTTTTATTTTGGTGACGCGTCCCTTTAAGAGTTTGATGTGTTTGTGTGTCCTTAGTGTTGCTATGGAAACACAGTGACTGGTCAGAAGCGGATCTTTCACGGTGATCGACCAGTTTACATGTTTGAATGGGAGAATTTGTTTTGTTTTATAAATAAACTGATTAGCAACGCTTTGTTTTTTGTGATATTTAATTTGAACTGTTTCTTTGTGCAGAAACGTCGTCCCCGCCTCACTTCCTCTCGCCACAATAATAAACACAATAAGGAATAACATGAACGCTTACTTCAACACAGGAGAAAAACTCATATGATGGTAAACAAATTAAGAGCACGAAGCTGTTTGTGTTTGGGATGTCCGGGACTGCCAGAGTTTGTGGAAGTCTGTGACGACCCTGCTGGTTTCTTGTTCTGGATGTTTTGTGTTTCAGGTGCCAGTGGGTGTGGCTGTGTCCTCCTGGATGGAGAGCACCTGGGCCAGCCCCACTTCCTCATTGTGGGAGACAGGGGCCCTTTCCGAATTGTCACAGTTCAGTATGCAGTACGTACTATTCAGTATGGAGTTTTAGTATACTGAACCTTCGTGGTCATTTCAGTATGCATTTTTTGGGTCCACCTCAGTATACTGAACATTTCAGTATGCATACTAACTTCCGGGTTTCATGCAGTATGGATCGGATGCGTGCTTTCAGGAAATTAATTGTATTTTACCACCCACAATGCTGTGCGAAATTAAACGTAAATCGTCACGTCACGTCACTCCAAATCAAAACAAACGAGTGTGGATTAATTTAATCAATTTTTAATCTAAAGTCCTGACTGAAATCACTACTTTTAATTAACAACAGAAAATATAACAAATATCTGCATTATTATAAAACCTTTCCCCCTCTATTTAAATAATGATTTCACTATTTAAGTGTGTCTTTATTGGTTTATTTTATATTCTGTATATTACTGTCTTTCATTTGTACTTTCCTTTATGTACTGTATGTTATTTAGTTATTTAATCTGCCTTTTACTTGATTTACATTGTGATATTGTTTTTTGTTTACCTGACTGTATATGAGCATTACTCTTCTTGAATAAAGCTAAACAAAAAAACAAAACAAAAACAGGTGAATGCGGCCAGTTTGGGAAACGTCAATGATGTCACTTCCATACTGAATTAATCAGACGAAGTAGGAACAAATATCTGCCTACTGTGTGTGCATACTGAATAGTAGATACTAAACAGTATACAGCATGGATAGTACGTACTGCATACTGCCTACTGAAAGATTGAGTATGTACTTGGCAATTTGGATACGGCCAGGGAGAAAGACTGGGAGAGGCCGCTCCCCAATGCTCATCACTTCCTTAACTCCTCATCTCCCCCCCTTATTTGTCGCTGGTTTTGTTTGAGCCGGCTGTGACAAATATAAGTAGGGTCAGGAGAGGAAAAAAGGTCGGACAATCTGGGAGTTCAAAGTTGGTGCGTGATGTTTTTTTTTTTTAAGTTTCATAGTTCTAGGAACCGTTGAAACCCTTCCATTTTATTTATTGATTCTGCAAACTAAAGACTTATTTTAGTTCCTAGGACCCGTAAAGAGGAACCTTTTCAGCTCCTGCTTCAGAGTTGGTACCATGGTGGTGCGAATGCAGACAGAAAGCCCCCCATGAGAAGTTTAGGACCAAACAGTTGGGGACTGTTGGAGGAAGAACTAGTTCTAGGGAATTCCCTGAGAACCAAAGGCCATGGGAATGTTCTGTCTGCATTTCTACACCCATGGTACTTAAAATGAAGCAGGAGCTAAAAATGTTCCTCTTAACAGGTTTTAAGAACTAAAATATATCCTGTGATGCAGAACCAATAAAAAAGAGGGGGAGGGTTTTAACAGTTCCAAGTACTATTAAGTTCCTGCAGTCCCAAAACATTTCCCTCCTTAAAAAAACCCCATCAGTGTAAGATAGTTCCTCTTCAAAAAGTCCCGAGTCCAAAAACACCAAATAAGATCACGTTTTAAAAACATCAAACTGATATTTCAGCCCTGAGACGACAATAACCGTAACCGTTGTTAATAAAGTCTAAAATATTTCAGGTTTCATTAACGACCAGCTATTATTTTTGAGGTGAGAAGATTGAGATCTCTAAATGAAAGGATGAGTCACTCGTGTGAAATAAAGATGACAGAAACAGATGTCAAACTGAACCAAACTTTATTGAAACCTAAACAACAAAGTGAAGAGAGGACCAATAATCAGTGTTCACACCAACAAACACGTTTCAGACTCTTTTATTGAAAAGCAACCAAAGAAATAAATCTGCAGAAGCTCCAACGATTCGCCTCCTGCAGAGTCTCCAGCCGTCCAATCAGCTGATGCTTACCTTTGAGCGCAGCCACAAACATCACCTGGAGCTACGAGGTGGAATAAATCAACGAGGCTCGACTGCAGACAATCATCGGAACAGCACACATACCAAAAATACTTTAATGTATAAATTAAATCATTTACATCTGTCATCCAAACTCTTCTTAACAAACATGTTCAGTTGATTCACAGAAACAGAGACCACAAAAGGTTGCGTGGATCCAAATACTAAAATGTATTGACGTTTAGGTTTCCGAGGACTCGGCGCGATAAAAACACGTTTTCTCTCCAAAAACAAAGAAAAAGTGACGCGAGGCGGCGGCGGTCGGGTCATCACTCCGCCGTCTCCTCCGATTGCACTTCAGTTAAAAGCTCCTCCTCTTGTTTTATTTCAGGAAGCTCGCCGCCCTCACTCTTCACTTCCTGTGAGGCGGCGGCGGCTACAGCGGCCTCAGCAGCAGCAGCGGCGGCGGCGGCCACAGCACATGACGTGTCCTCCTCTTCCTCCTCCTCTTTCTTAATGAAGGCGGTCAGCGGGTGCTCCGTGAGCAGTTTGCTCGGCGACGGTGTGACGTCGACATACGACGACTGAGGAGGCAAACATCAGCAGGTCAAACATCTGAACCGTTTGAATTCTTATGATTTTATTATAAATATGAGTCTCAGCGTCGTATACTCACATTTTGATAATCCTCGAAACACGATGGATGGAAGTTCTGCGGAAGAAAACATCAGACAGGTGAGGTTTATAAAAGTCAGCAGGAAGTGAGAAACGTTAATGACCCCTGACCCGCTCGTCAAATAACAACTGATACATAAACAACTTTTTTTCATGGCGGGAGGCGAGCCAACACGTCTCTGATCATTTTAACCTCCGATTACAAAAGTGACCACTTCACCATCTCTCCAGTCTGTCTCCACCTGGCATGTTGTTTTTCAGGTGTAACCAATCAGGAGAACAGCAGGCGGCCTTTTCGAAGTGCAGCCGCTCCGAGTGCTTCAACTTTTCAGAAGGTCGCTGTTGATGTCACCAGCGCTCTTTTTAACCAGCCAATCATGTAGCAGATCGGTCTGGACTCCTTGTATTTTGCTCTTATACGGATCGTGTCGAGTAACCACGTCGTCCTTGCTCCGTGTCTGATGGAGGCAAATTTGATGCTCACAGCGTTGGAAGAGAATCATCTCAAATATAAAACATGCAGTTAAACGTAACAGATCAGTGTCGGTCACACAGCGGCGGCCGTAGACAACAGACTGTTGTCATGGAGGTGAGACGCACGTGCAGCGCTTTATTCTCATGACACAAACGCTCCAGAGCGCACAGTCAGCGTTTTCTGACCCCAAAGAAAATACCAGAAAAACATGGGGCCTTTACTGTCTAAAGCGATGGTTCTAAACCTGCGGTCTGAGGCCCCCGTGGTGGGGCGCGGTGTGTGTTCTGCTTTTGTGTTACCTTGTCGTCGACCCGGAGGGCGTTCTTCAGGAACCAGTCCTCCTCCTCTTCCACCCAGTAGGTCTCAAAGGGCTCCTGACAGATCTCACACAGCTGCAGGATGGAGAGATCAGAACAGGTCATCACTCACTCGCTCGTCAGAGCGCATGTTACATCTACAGTTCGAGATAAACGGTGTCTCACCTCGCCCACTTGGTCCTTTGCGGCTTTCACACACTGAAACTCCTTCTCCTTGGCGGCTGCCTGAGTCTTCTGAACCTCCTCCTCGTTCACCTTCTCAAAGAAGTGACTCTTTGCCCGCTCCTCCAGGTCAGCGATCTCCTCAAACTCGATCCAGTCCTGAAGGAGACACGAAAACATGCACACATGAATCAAACCCACCAGAGTCCAGGATCCTTCAGGGGTTTCCCCTACATGTTGGACCTCAGGATCTTTGTGATTAGAGACTCACAGCATTCATCCCTCCAGACACGTTAGAGAACTCTGATGTCTGCGTTCACGTCTCACAGCTGGGTCGTTATTTTATATCAATGACAACAAACACGCTGAAAGGATTCAGAATCAATGACATCACGACGCAGATTTAGATTTGCCTGGAGAACATGTTCCTACACGGGAACAGAACTTAAGCAAACATTGTAAACACGTGATTCGTCAACGCCCCGTTTAAAAAAGTGCCATCGGATGTTCAAACAAGTGTTTGTAACTGGCAGGCAGGAAGGATCGCCTTTGGTTTGAACACTTTCAAGCTCCCTTGGGGTCATGGAGGCTAAAGCTAATCGCAGCTGTCACTGGGCTGGAGTTTGGTATGATTGTCTGCTGCAACGTCAGAAGAACAGAAACAGTCCTGGCGTCATAAATTTGCATAAACTCCAAACGTCACTGATCCGAATCACTTTGCTTGAGATCTGAATCACTTAAACTACAGACGATCCAACGTCTTCACACACTGAGATTCCTTTGAGCCCTGGTTTGTAATGGAGAGCAAAAAGAGTTTGTGTGTGTTCGCTCACCCTGAGTGTGTAGTACCAGCGGCGGTGTGTGATCTTCTTGCCGGCGACCTTGCCAGCGTGGTTCTGTCTGAAGTGCCAGTCGAGGTGGTCGGCGTACATGTCGGTCTGCGCGGCGGTGAACCTCATGCTGCACAGACAGCACTGATTCCCCGAGTACAGGCGAGTCACCACGCTCTCGTAACGGCTGGAGACAAAAAGAGACGACATGAATAAAACGTTTAATCGAACGAGCTCTCTCTGTTTTGGTTTCAACATGACGTCTGTTTTTAAAGCTTTGCTACTTCAACTCTTTGTATGAACTCACGGTTTCATGTCATCTATCTTGAAGGTGGTGAGGTCGGGGACATCTCCCTCCTCCTCATCCTGCTCGTCCTCTTCCTCCTCCTCCACCGCAGCAGGAGCAGCAGGACCAGGACCTGCAGATCCTGGAAAACAAAAACAGAAATTGAAACGTCTCCATGGTAACAGACATATTACATTTTAAACGAGAGAGTGAGGGAGGTGTGCTGACCGGTGCTGGCAGTGGGCGTGGCTTCAGGCTGTGATGGTTTGATGATGCCGTTGGAAATGAGTTTGGACAGCAGGTCGTTGACGTCCACCTGACCGAAGTGATTCTCTGGAGGGACGACAGGAACTGCAAAACATCGACACAGAACATTTCCTTTAATCCCAGAAAATGATTAAAGGACATCAGAGGCCAGTTTAAGTAATAGCATGACATCATTGCAGCGCGTCAGAGTGCAGCCCGCCAATAAGCTACACAGAATACAACAGGCAACAATGGAGGACGTCTAGATGAGGTCTGCACCTCCGGGGTCGACCATGGGGCAGAGCTACATGCTGTCAGTCACAAAAAAAGCCTTGCAATGATTCTCTTAAAAACCACAGGATATTTAAACATGGTGCGTTTTGTGTTTGTTCTTTGTCGCTGTCAAGCATGAAGTGATGATTCTCTCCTCCAATCGATGGACAGCAGTGTGTCTAGCTCCGCCCTTTAGGGTCAGCTCAGGATGCTTGGCACCCCAACAGAAGGGTAAAAAGTAGGACGGTACAGGTCGGTTATTTGGGTACCATTCCAACTTTTGACAGTGGAAACGCCAATAAATGTACCGTACTGAACTGACCCACTTTATATACACTCTTATTTTGAAATTTCTACCACGTGCCTGTTTGACAGTGAGTGCCCAGCTGCGCGTCACCCTGAACTTTCACACAATCGAACATGAGCTTCGGAAAGTTCAAGATTTGTGTCCCTGACATAAGGAGATCTTACCTGGCTGTGTGAAAGGCACTGTGTTCTGAGGCAGGAAGGGCTGGTTCAGGTTCATCAGGTTCACCTGAGAACAACGAGACAACAGGGTCAGACACCAAGGACAGAAATGTATCAAATAGGGACAAAAAGAAACGCGATGAGGAACAGGTCACTCCGAGACGTGTTCACAAACTCTTGTTCAAAGGTGAAGCTTGTTACATTTCAGTTTGAAACAAGAGACAGGTGTGTGTGTGGCAGAGTGTGAGTGACTCACCGGCTGCTGCATGCCGACAGCGGGGGCAGCAGGGTTGTAGAAGGGGGCGGGGCCTGGTTGGCTGAAGGGTGGGACCGGCTGCATGTTGAAGTTGGCTGCAGGCTGCATGTTAGGCTGCGCAGGGGAACGCCATGGGCCCCCCGGGGAACTGGGGATTCATGGGCTCAGGGAACCTCTGTGGGGCCATGTTGAAGTTCTGCTGGGGGGCCATGGGGCCTTCATAAATGGGCGGGGCCATCTGCCTCATCGGGGGCTGCAGGTTCTGCTGGGGGGTGAATCTGGGGGGGCAGTCATAGAGGGGGGGTACACCCTGCTGAGGGAGGTCAAAACGGGGTCCTGGCTGATCAAAGTGCATTGATCCAGGGCCCTCAAACCTAATGGGGCCCATCTGGTTCGGGGGTCCGTCAAAGCGGGGGGGCCGCTGCTGCTGCTGGAAGCCCATTGGCCCCGGAACCGGACCTGGAGCCATGTTGTTGAAGCGCTGCATGGGGGCCTCAAAGTGAGCCAGTCCAGGCCCCTGTCCCTCAAACCTCACAGGAGGCCCGTCAAACCTCCCAGGACCCTGAGGGTGAGAGGGACCATCAAACCGGCCCATGTCGCCTCCTCTGATTGGACCATGTGGCAAGGGAGGGCCATCAAACCGATGTGGGGGCCCGACCCCCTCGAACCTGCCAGGGCCGGGGTGAGGAGGTCCCTCAAACCTGGACGTGTCTTCGTAGTGCTCGGGGCCCCCACCCTCATACCAGCCCTGGGATTGGGGTCTTGAGGGGCCCATGTGTGCGGGACCATCGTACCTGGACGTAGTGTGTCCTCCTTCGTGAGGGGGGGGTGTGGCCTGGTGAGTCACTGTGCTGTAGGCCTGATAACAGTGGTCCTGCTCGGCCCGGGGCCTTCAGGATGGATTTGGGAGTAGGGTAAGCAAGGGAGGCGTCCAGGGGCCCATCGTCTGAGTGTTCACTGTTTGGACTCTCAAAGCGAGGGACTGGACTCGCCTCGGCCGTCTCTCTCGGGTGGAGAGGAGACAGGCGCTCTCGCTCAAACCTCGGGGGTGGAGCCTCTGGACCAACTGGGCTCGGACAGTTCCTGTGGACCACAGTGCCAGATGGGGGCACATCGGGCCTCCGAGGGTCAGGTAGTCTAGAGTCCGCTGGGGGGCCATACCTCCGGGGGGCATCGTAGCCACTCTTCTGCTCATCACGTTGGCGCTCCGTCAGCGGCGAGTTCCACTCCCTTTCAGCTGGAAACAGAAAATTAACCCATGAAGAAGAATGTGACTACATTGAAGGAGCGCCGACTCATCAAAGTGACTGCAGACACAAACTACATAACAGGAAGCTCATTAAGAACCTAAACTCTTGTTCTGCCTTTCTACTGACTGACTACATTTCCCATGATGCCCTGTGACATGACTGTGGTGATCTGCATCACCTCTGACCCTGCTGACCTCTCACTGACAGAAACCCTGACTCCCTGCAGCTCCAGAAACTGATCTCACACCTCTCTGTGGAGGAAGACAACAAGTAACAGGTGACTTTACATTTTCTGATCACTCATCAAACACGTCATGGAACACGTTGCCATGGAGACGCAGATAACAGCAGACTTACTGGACTCTCGGGGGTCAGCTCTCCTCCTGAATCTTAGGCCGGGCAGAGACTTCAGGGTGGGGAACTCTTTCCCGTGGTTGTACTCCTCAATCATTGGGCCAGTTGGTGGGTGGGGCTCCTCACGCTCTTTGCTCCGCCTCTCATCTGAAAGAGTTGGACACCAAGATGTTGTAAACACACCAGTCTGATTCAGTAAGCTCAGAATTCATAACCAAAATATTTAAACACCTGATCAATGAAACCTTCATTAGTTGTTGATGGAAGGTTGTTACTCACCCTGTCGTTCCCTTAGCGCCCGTCGACCAGCACTCCGTCCACCCGTCTTCTCCCCTTGCCCGACCACCTCGCTCTCCCCCTCACTCTCCTTGTCCTCCCACTCCTCCCCTGGAGGTCTGTGTGCGACCTGCGTCTTCCTCAGCTTGGACTTGTGCTCATAGTAAGACAGCTGTGCGGCGTCCATGGGGTCATGGAGGCGGGGCTGTGCTAAGAGCGCTGTGTTCAGCACCGGCTGTTTCTTGTCTGAGAAGTTTCCAGAGCGGTCCCAGTTCTCAGAGTGCTGCTGCTTCTCCTCCTGATACTGGAAGAAGTATTTGATCTGGTGGGCCATGTTCAGGAAGTCCTCCTGGGAGATCTCGCCGCTCTCGAGGCGTTTACTCGCCTGCAGACAAGAAGTCGACAACATTTACAAACTGTTTCCCAACTGAGGAGCCCTCTGCCGTTCAACTCTCTGAGTTGATTAGGTATTCATAGCGTTCACTGACGTCACCAGCGCGGAACTGCAACAAGCTTTTAATTTAACATCTACAATAAACGACACATGTTTACATCACCTGACAAACATAGCAAAACTATGATACTAACATAAACTTTGGTTTGGGTGACTTTAACAACACACGGGAAACTATTTATGTCGCTAGAAACGGCAAAGTCTGTGCCGGTGTTACGGATAAAAGAGTTACCATGTTAACTGGTGACTGTCAGCCGAGTGATTCTGGTTGTCGTATGTTAGGTGTCCTAACAAAAACCTACTTATTTAACTTTCATTTAAACATATCTCTGAAGTAATTTTGACATTATGATAATTCAAAAACGGAACAAAGGACACTTTCATTTGCGTTTGTCTGAAAGTCATCAGTTAACATGGTCACTCTTTTAACCGTAACACCAGAACGTCACTTCAGTGATATTTCTGATATTTAGAGGAGAATCCCTCTCCTTACACCGCTGTAGGATGGAAACACACAGGCAACTTTATGTATTATTGATCGGTCTGGGTCGATAATGCTGCTGTTTGAGAAGTGAAGGGCAAGAAATTCCTCATCATTCAAGAATCGGTGAGTGCTAATTAGCTAGCGATAGTATCAGTCGTCAATTTCAGTGTTCTGGTGCAGTAATCTGAGTTAAAGGCAGGAATATTTAGATTTAGTCAACACTATAATTGATGTCAGGATGAGGAGAAGTCCGATGTTTCAGGGGCCGCAGAGGTCTAACTGCATTAATCCACAAACGTCCTCCTTTCTGTTTTTTCTCGGATTAAATTGTGTAGAAGAAAAACCCGGGCTCATCTCCTCGTCGGTTAGTGTATCATATTAAACAACAACTGTATTTCATTTGAAAAATTTTAAACTAAAACAGATAAAAACACGTAGGGGTCAACTGAAACCAGTAACTTCTCAGTAGCGTAAAATGGTAGAGAGCCTTTCTTGCCCTCCAAGTGGGCGGTCCCATAAGAGTGTGATGTCACATGAAAGCTTAGAATATACATTTCTAATTAGTCACCTCATGCCAGTTTACAGAGTCGGCTCGATTCAAAATGAAAATCAAATAAAATGGATTTCTGTTTTGTTACCACGGCAACAATTATCAAAGTTCTGAGCACCCAACATCCAGAACATTATTGTTTTCAGGAGTTTGGAATATTTTATTTCCCTCAGGATCAACAAAGTATCTATCGACTTGTTTCACACACGTTTCCTCGCCTGCCGTTTCACATCGGATTGAAAGGGTTTTTGTTTCAAGTTGCTCCTTGTTATGTTTCTCCGACCTCAGTAGCAGTGTGTGTGTGTGTGTGTGTGTGTGACGTACCCTCCTCAGCAGGTCTTTTTTGGAGGCGGAGTTTAAGGCCTCTGGGATCTGCATGTTGGCGTCCACGCTGAGCCGATGTTTGGGCGTCCGGGGTGTTGAAGGTCGGGTCGGGGTGCCATACTGTTTGTGTCTCTGAGGTCCGGGCTTCACATGAGGTTCCTCCGGAAGCTTTGTGCTGAAGAAGAAACAAATGTTCAGTTTTTAAAGATTAAAATAATCGACAGCGATGTCGCTGTTCGCTTTGTGGATTCATTCATTAAAAGCCACCTTAAAGTGGTACATCACACGTTTGTCAAAAAGAGGCTGAGGGGGTTGTTTTCTTAAAGCTCCGTGGTTATTCTGAGAGAAGAGAAAATAAAAAACTATGAAGCGACTCACTGTTTGTTCTCCTCCCAGCCGCTCCTCCAGCGGTGAGGAGCCTCCTTCGTCTCCTTGGCTCCTCCTTCGTGGCCTCGTGGAGAGTGGGAGTCTCTTGTTTCGGAGTGTCGCTCCTCCGCCGGCCTCTTTGACCTCCTGCTCTCTGATTGGTTCTTCTTGAGAGTGAGGCGGTCCTCTCGGCCGGGCTTGCCGTGCTCTGCTTCATCTGCGCGGACCCTCCGTGGTTTGCCAGGTTTGTGAGATGGGGACGGAGACAGGGAGCTGCTCCGGGTTCGGCTCTTCGGGGATCTCCTGTCCTTCCTTTTGGGGGGAGGCGGCGGGGGAACGCGACCTGGAGCGTGAGCGGGTACGTTTCCTGGCGTGCGTGCGGGCATTACCTCCGGTCTTGAACTCTGGCTTGTCGTTGGACTCGTTGCGGTCGTGTTTGCTCACAGAGCCGTTGACCAGCTTCCCTTTGTTGGACCTCTGAGGCTCCGCCGCCCTCAGCGCCTCCTCTCGTTCCTTCTTGTCAGTACATCTCTTCTTCTCCTTCAGCTCCTCGTCTTTGGTCTCCCCGCTCTTGTCCTGCGTGCGTTTCTTAAGCCGGGGGTCTTTCTTGGTGACCTCTAAGGACTTCTGGACTTCCCCCTCCACCTGTTTGCTTTTATTCTGGACATTTTTGGGCATCGGAGACAGCGGCTTGGATTTGGGTTTCTCCTCCAGCGCCTCCTTCCTCGGGGTCCTGGCTTTTTCTGGACGGTTCTTCTCAGGCGTCTGCGTGGTACTTCCTGTCGTGGTTGAGTCTGTTTTCTTCCCAGGATGTTGTTCTTTGGGCTGAGGGGCAGCTGGGGGGCCAATGCGGTTCAGGCGGGGGTCTCTTGTGGGGGGTTTTGTGTCTGCCTGAGTCTGAGGGGGGATCCAGGGTCGGACCACAGGAGCAGTCTGAGTGATGGGTTTCTGCGCAGCGCTCACTGCTGGAGCTGAGCCTGGAGTGGAAACGGGAATCACAAAGCCTCCAGCCTGCAGACACAACACCAACGACAGATTGTAATATTTCATACAAACAGAGAAAAGAAATCGAACGGCGTCACCGTTTTAACGGCCTTACCAGCTGAGCTTTGGTCTGCTCCAGCTCCAACTCGATCTTCTTCTGCTGCAGCTCCAGGAGTTGTTTCTGTTTGGCGAGCAGCTGCTGACGGATCAGCTGCTCCTGGGTCACACTGGACTGACTGATCGCCGGGGTCGGCTGAGGGGCCGTCACCGCTACAGGCGGGGGCTGCGGCGGAGGCTGCTTGGCGGGGGTAGGCGGTGGTGAGGACACCTCCTCAGACTAGAGACACACAAGAGGGTCAGAGGATAAACAGGCAGAGCAAAGTAAAGAGCTCACTTCAGTCCATCAGAGACCTGCAGCACAACTTTGATTAAAATACTCGTTTTTTTTAAATCATTTATTCATCTGAGGAACGCTTATTTCATGAAAAATCATTCTAAAATGTTTTAGTCTCAGACAGAAGGGTTTGGTGCTCGTCTTTTACACAAGATCACAATAAACTCACAACAGGTTCCTTCAGTGTTGAGAGACATAAGCGCCAGTTCTTGTGATTTAGTACAAAGACTCGTTATTATCTGGTTAATGTTCAGCTGTGTGATAGAAAACTTAACGTCTCCGTTCCTTTACTCTTACTTTACTAGTTCAGAAGTTGGAGCTTCATCTGTGGCTGTGCTTTGAATCATTAAGGTCAGAAATTTGTGTGTCAAGTGTTCGAACATCGAGAGCAGCAGCTCGTGTTCCCCGCTCTCACGTGAGGTCGCAGCTCATACACACCTGTTTTAAAAACTTGGGGTTGACATGAATGCTGGCGTTGATGGTGGGCGGCAGCGGCTTGATGGGCCAGGCCGGGTCCACCGAGTTGACCCGCACATCCAGCGCGTACATTTTCTTTAGAGGAAACACGTCGTCCCACGTGGAGCGTAACTTGAACAGACTCTTCCTAGTGTTCTCATCCACCTACAAACAGAGGACAGGACTTGGTCCACAGCTACCCACAGACACCGGAGCACAACTAAAGCAGCAGCACTTTGATGCTAACTTAGTAAATAGACATATCTAGATATTCTTAAGCAGTTAAACAAGATACTGTGATTAAAGCTGGAAATGCATAAAGCCCGCCCTCCCATACTTTTATAAGAAGCACTAAGTTATGGCATTACGTCAACAGGAGCAGAGTGCAGGGGGTCACATTTAAAAAGCAAGCAACACAACAAACAGGAGGGCAGTGAGGTGGGCTGCTAAACAGTTTAAGTTCTTAAATGTTGAAGAAAGCTAAACAGCAGCAAAGAGAACTGTACCTTTTCAAAGACACATATAAATGAAGTGATTAGGTTTTTAGCAAACACTGCAAGGTATTCTCCTCCAACATTCTTCACTATGGAATCCACTAAGTACAAAACTGGAAGCTTCTCGGCAGACGGGGCCTGGAGCAATAAGAGAACTCGACAAGTTTAGAACACAACAGGGGTTAAAAGCAACATTTCAGAACAAATGCTCAAAACACAAGAAAACAGGATAAACAGGGGCTCAACGCCCTCCCCATCACCACCCACTCTGTGAAAAATCAAAATGTGCAAAAATCAAAAAAAAGTTTAAGCCAGGTGAAGCAAAGTTTAGGAAACGAGACATCCTAAAAAAGGAGAACAGTCCAGAGTGACTCAAAGTTTTCTTCTGTCTGGATCAAAACAAAATAGTCCATAAGTCGGTCGCAGCCAGCTGAAGGTTTCACAACAGCTTTGATAGATCCAAAAACGTGCAGCAAACTCTTCCATTGTCACTCCAGTGTGCACACGAACGACCCCTCAGAAACAAGAGAAAGAAACGTCCATGGAGATAAAAAAAAAAAACAATAATTAAAAACATGGAGTCCAGTCCTCTGGAACTTTTTTTTTTTTTTTTTTTACCTCCAAAGAGGGCTCATCTCCTGAAACCACTCTTTGTACTTTACCCAGCCACTTTGAATCGTTACACCCTGCGAGTTTCATTCACTCACACCGTTTTTAAGTTTGACCCCTGAGAGGTTTAAGTCTCCTCAATGGTTAAAGAAACACATGATGACCCGTTTAAGCTGCTGCGTATTAACTTTACTGTTAGTTCTAACTGAGCAGCATCAGTTATACACACTACGTTTAATCCCAACGGGCCAAGCCGGACTCAGCCGTGTGGCTCAGAGTCAACCACAGGCATACCAATAAATTACACTGGGAAATAAAAAATGACAAAAAGCACAGTTCACATTTTTTATTATAACATTTTAACCATTCAATGACATTTCAGTAAATCAAGATTCACTAGTGAATGAATGCAGAGAAACTGAGCTTCGATCTGATGAGGTAAACACGGAGCACAGAGAGGCACGGCGCTGGTCTATAGAAGGTTGAGTACAGGGGCGGGGTCTAAAGAGCCCCCCCAGCTCTCCTCTATGTTTAACAACATCTACCTGGCAAAGTTTATTAACAGAAGAAGGAAATCAAACATCTACACTGTGTGGTGTCTATCAGCAGAGAGAAAGAGGACGACCTCGACGTACAAAAAGCTCCGATTATTAAAGTGAGGGCAGCGAGGTCACGCTTTACTTCAACGCCACAACTACTCAAACTCGTCTATTACTTCACTTTAAGTCTTTTTTCTTAACTGTCTCAGTTGATGTTTTATTGAAACCGTCACCGCAGCATAACAGTTACGTCGTGTGCGCGTCTGTTCACAGTAAGTCAGAAAACACTTCCTGCCGACCACTTCATTAACCCTCATATTTCTCCACACCGCTTCTTCCTTTTAATCGTTTAAAAGTTTTTTCTGATTTGCAAAGGTGAAAGGCGCCTCCTTTGGAATACAATGGTATTACATGAGACCGCTGCTATATAGTAAACAAAACAGATAGTTAGTTAATACATTTTAATCAACTAAATTCTTAACTGTGGTTAATCATTAACATCCTACTTCACACCCAAACTATGAAACGTCTGACTCAACACAACATTTTTTTAAACGCCTGTTTCCAGTGATTCTCTGGTTGTCCAACAGTCTGATCCTCCACTTTATTAAAAAGGAAATACAATCATTATTCTTACTATTTTCAACTTGCTGTCTGAGGTTACATTCATTAATGAGCACTGATGTGTTTATATCTGCTTCATAAAGTCATTACTATGTTTTATAATACATTCATCAGTTACTAAGATCAGATGATCTTTAAAGTATCGTGAGAGGAAAAGTGACAAACCGGTTTCTTATTTAACAACGTGTTTGTGTTTCCCTCTCCTACAGACCTCAGTCAGTTCCAATAGTTAGTGTATTTCAGGAACCACACTGAACAGCCCTTTAACATTTAAATACGACGATTTTTTAGCAAAAATAATTCACGATGTCACATTTTGTAATACTTAAATCCTTTTTGATAACACATATCTTATAACAGTACATTTTATGTTTGATGCTCAGTAGTATCTAATAGAACTGTCTTTTTTAATATAAAAACTCGTTCGGGTAAATTCGGTTGTCGAAGTATCGCGATTATTCGTCTTTTCTTAAAGTCTCGTAAACGAAGTTTACATTTTGGTTTCCTGACAACTCTTTTGATTTAACACAAACTAACTGAGTTTAAACGATGTATGTTGATTATAAAGCGCCGCTGTTTTTAGTTGCTAACCACAACAAAAGCTGAACGTAACGTAGCTAAGGGACATGTGTAACACAGCACTGGGCGCCATATTGAGCTAACAGCTAGCTTAGCCTGCTGGGCCTTCTAACGTACACGGACAGAAACAGCTGGAATTTAAGTATTTCTATATTTATAAAAACCTTGCTTATTTGCGCTTCAATAATTGCGACGATATCCTTGGCGAAGTGGAGGTTCTCCTCGGCCAGGATGGTCAGCATGTTGATGTGCGGCTTGCTGTTGAACGTCAGGTCTTCCAGAGAGGACTGGTACTCTCGGCAGGCGTCGTCCCTCGCCGCGCTGTCGTCCATCTTTGAGCGGAGAGACCCGGGTAAACCTAGGCGACTCTTATCGTTGACGTGGCCATTGATTAGCAGGCAGTCCATGAACTCATGTAGCTCAATGTTCCGCTCTGACTAAGAGAAAAGTATCGCCGGATTTGTGCTGAATTTCTGCCGCTTGTCGTCTTTTCTGGTCACTTCGGAGACATCAAGATGGCGCCTCTAACTGACGGCCGCATACGTCACGAGAAAATGTCTTTAGACTCTGATTGGCTTGTATCAGCCCGCCCTCATCGGGTACTTAGTTTTGATTGGTTAGATTAAATAACAGTCACATAAACGAACCAATCGTATTAACGCAATGTGATCTTATTGTTACATAACGACGGACATGCAGATGTTTCACAACATAATAACAGCACGAGGCGCAAACATGGCGTCTGAATGTTTTTCGTCAATGTTTGGATTTAAATGAATATTATTTTAACGATTGATATTATTTACATTTCATGATTATTACAATACACATTATACCACAGACTTGCTGTGATCAGTGTGCAGCTACATGACATTATTAGACTTTATTCCTTTTCACAGCCTTGTAGGCTATCTTCTATCAAACACCTCAAGTGTGATATTAATTTATTAAAAAGTTAAAAGATCATAATTCACCCCAACATTTTTCATTTATGGTTCAAACCTCAATTTTATTAGTCACTGACACCAGAATGAAGTTGTTAGGTCATCATGAGAGGCGTAGGGGTCCAAATGTTTCTGTCAGTCGACCTGGAAACAAATCATTTATATTTACACCGACTGAGTACTGTACGCTTGTTCTTCGGCTCGCTGAATTGCTCCTTTAGTCTGTATCATACTGAGCTTTGTAGATTCAGATTTCATAGAGGTCAAAGTTCACTGTGAAACATTCAAACTGTAAAATACAACAGTTCACATAGTTAAGAACACCTGTGTGTGTAACTACGAGTTACATGTGGACAGACAATTCACCTTTACTCTTTCATGTAAAATCAAAAACAGAAAATGAGCCCTGTGTTTCCTGGTTAATTCTGTCAGCTCACAGCTCATTGGTCGATTTATCAGACCTCACAAACATCCCACCTTATGGATATAAATAAATGTGTCTGACACGTTCTGATCACTGATTGGACCGTTCTGCTTGTGATGTCTAAAATGGTGAAAGAAAGTTTAGAAGTTATGAAGAACTTTTGAAAGGATTTAGAAACCAGAAACGTGTAACGTTCAGCATAATCTGATATTTTAATAATCATCTAAATTCATGACCACAGCGTGATGTCACTTTGGCCCCCCGACAGTTTCCTTTAAAAAAAACACAAACATAAATGACATGACTGAATCAAACAGGAGTGACGCTTTCTGACAAACAGAGGTTAAAAAAAAAAGTTTCACGTGTCAGATTTTTACGCGAGAAAAATCATCACACGTGTCTGACACTCAGAGTCTGTTTCATCGTTTTCTTTCTGCTCCCACAGAAACACAAAAAGACGTCTGGAGACAGAGGTGGAGCTGCAGGTGGAGACGGATCTCTTCAACTCTCTGAATGAGAGTCTTTTATTCGTCATCTTGTTTCCCTCTCCGTCCGTGTCTCTGCTCTGCTCAGACAGAACATGGCTCGTTTTTTGTTTTTTTTTAAACAGGGTTTGGTTCTGGACCTGGTTTAGTGTGGTTTGGTTCTGGTCCCGGGTGAGGCCTTGTTAAAACAAGCAGGTGTCAGTTCTCAGAAGACACAAAGGTCAGAGGTCAGGAGTTTTTCTGTGGACCAAACTGAGTTCATGAAACAGTGTCGATGCAGGAATGATGAGTCAGAGGAGAGGAGCGATCTGATTGGCTGTCAGAGGAGAGTCTGTTTTTATTCATCAGCACAGATATTTCACAGCAGGGTCGTCAACATACTAGAGTTTTACACATCGCTCCTCTCCAGCTCCAAATATGGTCTCTTCTGTTTCTAAAACTAAAGGTGTGGGCGGGGCTAAGTGTGATTGACAGGTAAAAACCACAAGGGCCTTAAATGTAATTTTTTTCAGCATTTATATATTTAGGGATACCTCCTGATACAATAACAGTAAGTACAAATATGGACAATTTAAGTTGATTTGACAAAAATAATTATAGCTGTATTTTTAATTTAACCAACAGAGGGCGCTCTCTGCTCTTGGCTTCCCTCGTTTGATGTCGGACATCGACTACACAGCCTCAATGAGGACAGTATTTCTGATATTAAGAAAAATAAGGAAAATAAGCTTAATAATAAAAAGTAATAATTCATAAATCAGCCTCATGTTTTTATAAAAGTTTAAATAAATGGAAAATAAAATCGTTTCATCTCTACTTATATTTTTTTCGTTTGTTGTTCGCTAAAAATGTATATTCAGTCGTTTTAACCCCTCCCCCTTTCAAGCTCCTCCCTCTCTTTCATATATGGTCAAATCTGGCTCCAGAAACATTGAACAAGATGGCGACGGCCAAAATACCAACTGTTGAGATTCGAAGTCAACAAACTGACATGTGACATCAAAATAGTCCCGCCCACTTCCTTTACACAGTCTATGATGAAACGTTAACGCATTACATAACAGGTGTCCTGACCCTGTGAGCCCCTGAGTCTGTGCCTGGTGGACCCCTCCAGTATTCCGTCCATACAGACACAACATGAAACAATAACAGAAAACTCCCCGCTGACCTCAGATCTGCAGGCGGCTCTGACGGCTTAACGTCTTTATAATTATTGTACGTAAAGTACAGAAGGACTGAAGTTCAACAGAAACACACTCCTCCTCCTCCTCCTCCGTCCCCCTGTCTCCTCCTCCCGGTCTCAGGCGTCCGAGTCGTCGCTGCTGTCTCGGCTGATCTCAATCTGCAGCGATGGCAGGTTGTCCAGCCGGCTCTTCTTCAGCTTGTGCGTCTGCTGCTCCTGTTTCTGTTTGATCATGGCGCCCCACATCTTCTGCAGCGTCGAGTCGTCTTCTTCCTCCACCTCCACCTCTTCTCCCTCCTCTCCGTCGCCTCGACTCCTTCTGCTGCTGCTACTGGCTGTGGCGTCGCTGGAGTTCTTCCTTCCCGATGAGGTGAAGAGGCCAGGTGAGCGGCTGGTTGTTCGGCGTTCCTTACGTGCAGAGCTGCCATCGTCGTCAGCTGATCCGAGTCTGCTCCAGAGCCCGCCTACAGGAAGTGACGGGTTTAAAAACATCAGATTAGAAAGGAACCTGAGACAAGAGAATCAACAAGTCACGAGTCACAAGTTCCTTCATGATCTCCTTAGGGCTCAAGATTATTGGGGAAAAACTGATATAGATTCTCAGAGGATGAAACGGGGCCGTGCTGTGCGATTGGACAGCTTTTGAAGTGCCGTTTAGAATGACGTCATATAGTGGTCTACGTCATTGTGTGAACGCGGTTACGTTCACATCTCCCGCACTCAGGTACGCATGAAACATGCTTGAGACCACCCCTTCAAGCAGTGTAGAAAAGGCCCCAAAGTTACATGTTAAGGTTTTTGCTTTATGTTAAAATAGTGTTTGATTCCTGGTCAGTTTAATGTGATGATATTGTGCTCAATAGGGGAGAGGTGTCACCTGCTGGTCATAACAAATTACATCATGTAGTAATGAGCAGTGTGCATCAGTCGATGACAGATGAGCCATCAGTGTGCAGAGTAATCACTTCATAAGTTGGTTGTGCGTGAATGAAAAGAGTGAGTACCTGAAGTCTTACATGTGACATTGTGTGTTCTTTAAGGCAGAGCCGGAGTTTAGAGCTTAGATGTTCGGTGTATTCTAGATATGCTAATTAGCTGACATCACGGCCCCGACATGCTCGCTATCTGTCCCCCTGGCTTAGTTGGAGCCACATAGTAGTCGAAAAAGAGTCATGTCGAATTCATTACATGTTTGTGCTTAGCCTACCTAGTGCTAATTCTTTCCCGTGTTAATATTAGTGTTATTTTAGTTGCCTGTTAGTTACAAGGTTTGCTAACTGTGTTGCTCTTTGCACGAGGAGGAAAGTTTGATGTCCGTGCTTCACAATAAAAAAAATATTTTTACAGGGGAATGATTGTATGACTGTTAAGCCTACGATAGCCTTTCTGTGTTTAATACTTTAGGTTAAAGAGACATGTAGCCTACCTTTATTTATTTATATGTTTTGTATGTTATTATAGAGGTAAGATGAAGCATTCAGATGTGTTCCTTAAGTATATATTTTGCTATTCTTTTCTTATAGAAAACCACAACAAGACCCAATACTCTGTCATATTGAATGGCCACTGAGATGCCTGTATTTTGTTTCACTACAAGAGAAGAAGTAAACAGCCATTCAACCAATTCTGCACTCTTGTTATTCATATTCTGGAATAAGGCCTGAAGTGGTGTTCTGGCCGACACATCTGAGTAAATCCAGTGAAAAGCAAAAGACTAGTGTCCCAACTGAGTTTAGTTTTATTATCTTCATTACAAGCAGACTCGGGCTCAGTACCTGAGTACAGTAGGTTTGTGTTTAAATTAACCAGACTTTGAGGTGTTTTGGATACGGGCCCGGGTCCCTAATGTGAAATCCCTCTGGATCATGAACCACACAGAAATAAAGACTTCTTAGAAAGAGGGAAACCCCAGGTGTTCTGTTCAGTCTCCTCTGTACCTGTCTTTCTGTCTTTGGAGGAGTTGGCGAACAGGTTTCTGCTGTCTTGGCTGACCACGCCTAGTCTGCGATGCACGTCTCTGATTGGCTCTCTGGCTGGGGGGGTGTCTCTGGGGGGAGACAGGGGAGGGGGAGCGGCGTCTGTCGGGGGAGTACCGTCTTTTCCCCAACCGCTGTCGCACATCTGCATAGAGAGCCCGTTTAAAGTGTGTGTGTTTTTATTACATCAAACAAGTACAACACCTGGATTCAAACAGCTCACCTGTCTTTCCGCTGGGGGCCACAGGGGGGGGGCTGTCTGTGCTGAGAGAGGCCCTGTCTCTTCTCCTCCAGCAGCTGACGGACGTCCATCACTTTGGGCGGCGATGTGGATTTGGGCCGGCTCTGTGACCCCGACGCCCCGACCCTGTTCCTGCTCGGCAACAGAAACACAACAGAGGGAATTACAGAGACTATTTTATCAGCTGATCATCACAGAATTTAATGTATGACTTCATACGAGGGCTCCTGTAATCTTCAACACAGCTCTCATTCTAACTGTGGCGTCTACAGCCTCGTTTCCACAACGGGCTCCGGTTTGGATCAGTGCGGTTTGGTACGTTAAAACCCTGATCTTGTTTGTGTTTCCACAGCCAACCCAACCCTTACTTGTCATTGATCCCAAGGACAGGTCAGCACCTCCGAGGTCATCCACGGGAAATCCATGTGATATTTAAACATGGCTTTGTGTTTGTCCTTTATTACCACTGTGACACAAGAAGTGACGATTCTTTCCACCAATCAATGGACTGCAGTGTGTCTAGCTCCGCCCTTTAGGGTCGGATCGGTATACTTGGCCCCCAGACAGAGTGTAATAAAAGTGGAACGGTCCAAATCGGTTATTTTGGTACCATTCCAAACTTCATCGAAATGAACCGGAGCGCTCAGTGTAAATGGGGCTTTAATGACTTAAAGGCACAGGAAGTTACATGTTCTCAGAACCAAATCACTGTGTGTGTGTGGTCTGACCCGATGCTTTACAGGTGTGTGTGTGTGTGTGTGTGGTCTGACCTGATGCTTTACAGGTGTGTGTGTGTGTGTGTGTGTGTGTGTGTGTGGTCTGACCCGATGCTTTACAGGTGTGTGTGTTTGTGTGTTCTGACCTCTGACCAGATGCTCTACAGGTGTGTGTGTGTGTGTGTGTTCTGACCTGATGCTCTTCAGGTGTGTGTGTGTGTGTTCTGACCTGATGCTCTTCAGGTGTGTGTGTGTGTGTGTGTGTGTTCTGACCTGATGCTCTTCAGGTGTGTGTGTGTGTGTGTCTGTTCTGACCTGATGCTCTACAGGTGTGTGTGTGTGTGTGTGTGTGTGTTCTGACCTGATGCTCTACAGGTGTGTGTGTGTGTGTGTGTGTTCTGACCTGATGCTCTACAGGTGTGTGTGTGTGTGTGTGTGTGTGTGTGTGTGTGTGTGTGTGTGTGTTCTGACCTGATGCTCTACAGGTGTGTGTGTGTGTGTGTTCTGACCTGATGCTCTTCAGGTGTGTGTGTCTGTGTGTGTGTGTGTGTCTGTGTGTGTGTGTGTGTGTGTGTGTTCTGACCTGATGCTCTTCAGGTGTGTGTCCAGCTCGTCGGCGTACATCGTCATCTTCTTGCTCTTCTTCGGCGACGGCGTGGAGATCATCTTCAGCTCCAGGTCGTAGTCCATCTCGTCTGACTCCGACCACGGCGACACAGAGCGCTCCGCTCGGCCACGAAGCCCTGTCCCCAGCGACCTCGACGCACTTCCAGCTCTCTCTCCTCTATCCCGCTCGGCCCGCTCTTTGTACTCCACCACCCGGTCGTCTGAGTCCATGTCCTCGTCTTCTT